GACACCTTGTCTTTCGTAAAAGCTTTTTTTAAAGCTAGCTTCTTAGCGTTTTGCTTAACGACTTCGATAGTGTTTATATCATTTAATGCTCTTATTACTTTTTGTCTTTTCTTCGATCTATTATCTGTTATCTTTATATTAATATTCGTAGCGTCTTTTTTATTTAAAATAGCTACTTTATATTTAAGATCTTTAACGCTTTTTATCTTGCACTTAATATTAATCTTAATAGTTTCGTCGAGTATTTTTTTTACCGAAGCTGTTTTGTAGCTGTCCGTATACTATTAAAAAGACATGCTTATAATGCTTGTTAATGTATTTATCTTTAAAGTAAAAGTATTAAAGCTTAAGCTAAACAAAGATAGCTTTTCGTTAATAATCTTAAAATAATGTGTTATAATTGTCTTTTTTAAGTAATAGATTCTTTTAAGATAAGCCTTTTCTTAATCTTAAAGTTAAGCATTAAAGCAAGCTGTTTTTAAGTAGCCGGTCTGTTTATAGCTTATGTATAAAAGTCTATCTTTCGATTTATTATAAATCTTCGACTTGTTAATAAACTAGTTTCTAGATTCAAATGCTAATCGAAGTAATGCAAAAAGCGGATCGTTTAAAAGTAGTAAGCGTAAAAGCAATTGCTGTTTAATTTGTTTATTAATAATTAAGTTGCTTTAAGTTTAAGAGTTTATATACTCGCTTTAGTAATTCAGTCTTTAATTGTTTCTTTAATATCTATTTTGTTTTTATACTTAAAGAAAAAGGGTATTCTGCTATAAAATTATTAAGTTCTTATTTTGTTTTAGTTTTAAAATGCGTTAAGTTGGCTTTATAAGTTAAGCGAGCAATCTTAAGTTAAAGCTTAATAAAGCGGCGACGTATAAAGTGTTTTAAAAAGATGCTAAAGCTACTTGTATTAAGACTCTAGCATAATGCTCGATATATCTTTATATTCTCTCGTACATCTTAATCTTTTTTATATTCGATTTAATTTTCTTTTATGCTTTAAGTTTATTTTAAAAAAGAACGAAAGTTTCGTATGCTTTTTATAAGCAAAGCAAAAGCAAAGCATTATTAGTTAAAGCTAATATCTAAAGCTTATCGTTTATAACTTTTTTAATAAAGGCCGACGTAATAGACTTGAGTATATACTTGTTCGAATCAGATTGATTCGTTATTATTAATAATGCTTCGTTCTTTTTTAAATCTTTTCTTTTAATCTTTTTTAATAACGCAACCGTTCGTAAATAATAAAATACGAGACTTTCTTATAATCTTTGTTATAAGTTAAAGACTTCGGCGATCACGTCTTGTTTTTCTATTAGTTTTTTATTATTAAGAAATTGCGTCTTTAGCTATTCTACTATTTCAGCTTTCTTTTTTTCTATTGCTATAATACGATTAATTATAATGTATCTTATTTTTATATTAGATCTGAGCTTTCTGCTAGCTTCTTTTATTAATAAGATTAAGATTGCTTTAAAGTACGTTAAGAAAGAAAGGTTGTCGGAGCTATCGACTTCGAAATCGTAATCTAATCGGTTTAGTTATAGTTTAGCTAGCATTTTTTTATCGTAGTCTTTATAACGATCGAACTTCAGCATCTTTAAGTTTAACATCTTATCCGTTGCTTTAAGTCTATGTGTAATAATAATAAAAAGAAAAGTAAGATAATGATTTTGCAATTGATTAATTGCTTAAGTATCTTATTGTTGCTCGGTCTTTATAAAAGCATTTATATCGTAAATCTTTATGTCGATCTTAAGCACGAACTTAATACTTAATCGGTTTTAAAAGTTAAAAAGCGGTGATTAAGTTTTAGTGTTTAATAGTTGTAGTAATGAAGTTATTGATCTTGCTAATTATAGATATGTTCGTAAGAGAAGGTCAATGATCAGCTTATGTTATGCTTGTTGTTCGAAAATAGAAAGTATCGAAGCTGTTAAAAATGAACTCTTTTCTCTTGATAAAAGTATTAATAGTAAGTGCTGAAAGTGATAGACTTTCTCTTCGTATTTCTTTTCCGAGTTTATTAAAGAAGGTGAGTTGAAGTAGAGTTCTTTTGTTCTTTTTTTATTTATTTATTTAATTGTAAGTCGTAGTTTCTTTTATAAGTCCGTAGGTTTTAGTTGAGGTGGTTTTAGTTGAGGTGCTAATAAAGCGGTGATTTGTCGATGAACTCTTCGGAAGGGAAGGGTAGAGCTGAAGTTGTTTCTCTAATAGTTGTGTTCTTAATGTATTGTTTTAAGCTCTTTGTCTGCGAATCAAGGGATTGCCAGGTCGGTCGCTGCGTGGGTCACCACTTCAGTGTACCACACCTCTTCTTACTGAAACCCAAAGTACGGTTACGCAACGATACTGGACGAAATACTACGTTGCAGAATCTACATTCCCCGACTTTTCCTCTCAGTGAAAAACCACGATTGCTACAGCTCCGAGCTCTGATGATAGAGTACATGGCCAGATTCGCCTCGTGCCAATCGCCCATGCCGACTGCTTTGCACAATTGGCAGTGGAAAGATTGGACGAGAAACGATCGGAGGAGCAATTCTCTCAAGTCGGAAGAGAAACAATCAGTCAGGCTTTACGACTGCCTCACTTCGGACCCTCTTCTACTACCAGCCCTTCAATGCTCGGCTTTACGTACCTTCCCGATTCCGGTCGGCGAGCTTTCATACCCCTTTCGAATGTAATGTGTACGGTGATAAGATACCACAGCTGGAGAAGGGATGATGCACAACAGCTGGAGGAGGCTAGAGACTCCACCTAGCGCAAGAGAGATGGGCAGTGGAATGGAAACAAGGAGACGTGGAGGGGAAGCAGTGGACGAGGGGTTGTGGTGGACATAACAAAGTAACGTGGGAAATAAGCGAAGAACGTTTGGATCCTTTCGAATTTTCGAACTACGTTCAGGAGAGAAGCTTTGTTTCTGTACATGTACGAGATCAATCACCCAAGGAGGGCCGATCTTCTGCGCGTGCTATTGCTACTTCTATACAGTAGCAAACGTGAAAATTGCCCGTGTGGGAATGTAGGCACCACGCTTATAGGTCACGTCGGCATGTAGCCTCCCCCCTACCTAGAATGGCTTCCCTCCTGAGACTTACCCTCAACGAATCACAGCAGGTACATTTTTTTTAATACCTTAGAGTCAGCCCAATGTGCACACCTATTTAATGACAATACCTCCTCTTCCTCGTCCCGAAATCGCCGTCACGAATATTTTTCCGCTCAGACGAATAACACCTCTTTTCACATTCAACTAACTCCTCCTCATCGACAACATGTCTCGAGAGTCCTACCTTCCCGAAGATCTCCTCCCAGTTGCCCAACGACAAGAACTCCAGGTTCTGCGCTAGCGCAAAGCAAGTACGATGATTCAGATCAACACCACGGCAGCCGATTTTGTAGAGACGAAGATCCAAAGCTTGGAATCCTATGTGAAGCAAAGGAGATGCATAGAGGCTGCACTTGAAGCCAAAGGTTTTGACCAAGCGACCGCCGAAGGACGCTTCAGAAGACGCGCCCAGCCAAGAAGAGCGCGACAAAACAGCCTCAGATGTCGACCGGCTCAAGACGCGACGGGAAGCCTTGTCGGGGACGATCTTGCCGAGATGGGAGTCTCTCCAGACCCGTTGGAAAACGCACACGTCTCGCTTGAGATGGGGCGGGGAGAGAGGGTGCTCCGGACACGACGAGGGACAAGGGGAGAAAATTCGACCGTGCGAAGTTCAAGAAGGCTGTTCTGGAGCGGTATGGCGCCACGCGCGTGGAGGGCTCCAACCCACTGCAGCAATGTGTTGGAACTGGAGAAGTGGTTCTACCGACTAGACTCTGAGGGAGAAAAACGGCCCTGTTGGCGCAGCTTACTTGGTTCCCTGGCTTCTCAACGGAGGCGACTTAGATTACTTGTTTGGCATCACAGACGGATCGGCCATTCTATCTGACTCCGCTGATGGTAAGCCCCCAAGTATATATATATATGCCTTGCTTGGAATATGCTAATGATTTGTTCAGCTATCTCTTTGCATACTAGAATTGAAAGTGCACTGGATAATGCTGAGATTGTCATTGTGCCTAGACTTGAGGCTGGAAAAGAGACCGAGTGGGAAGTGTTCGTCACCGATGAATCTGAATTGGGCGACGCAGCGTGTCTGACTGCCGAGTCCGGACAAACGAAGTGCAAGGTACTTAAGTTATCGCTTTCCAACTTGAATACTCCCATAGCTGACAACACATACAGAACTTCCACCAAAGGACGTTACAATTCCTGACCTCGAACGGGCCATCCAAGCGCTATTTGTATTTCCGATTCGTCAAGTCGTACCTCATAGGTATTGCTGAAACGCAATGAGCCGGGGAGCATGAAGTGGGTCAAGAATCTCGAGGCAACGCCCGGACCTGATCTTCGCAAATCGATGCTTATGGCCTTAGCCCGCAAAGTGTCAGACAAGTACCCGCCACCCGGTCTCGTGGATGCAAACACGTTTGATGAACTGCCTTACGATCCGCCATGAGGCGCTCTCGAAAAGTATTAAGCGGCATCAACACTAGCGATCAAGATCACCAGTCTCGCCGACAACGAAAATCGGGACAGATTCTGCGGCTGATGATTAAGAAGGGAGGGATGAAGGGGAGCTCGGTTGTCAGGACCTGGATCGATATTGAAGAGGAGAAGGGCTTGGGTGTCAGGTTGTGAGGGGTGCAAAGGAGCTAAGAAGGAAATCCGGACTTGGGACTCCTTGACATTTTCGACTTGGACAACTTGGCTTTCGAATTTAGACTTTGGACCTTGGACATTTTTTGACTTTTGTTGCAAGTCGCAAATCTGCTGTCTCACTTCTCTCTCTCACTCTCCCCTCCTCGGCTACCCACCCAGGAAAGAAAGGATGCCTTCCGCGCGTCGTAAGTGAAAAAAGAAAACGACAACTCGGCCTGGCAAATGCCAATACGGGTAGGCGGATGCCCGGGGCGCTGCTGTGGACTTCGCTCACTTGGCCCGCGTCCTTGTAACATGTACCACTACATGCCGCGACGTTTTCAAGAGGAGAGATAAGCACAATTGACTATACCTCGAGGGAGAAACGGGTTAGTAAGAGGTGGGGAAAAGGGCTCAGAGCGATCGATTCCGTACGATGCTACTAAACGGCTTTTCCTGATGGATTTGTTCTCGTCGCAAATCTACCTAGCCACAGTTCAGACGACATTCTATCTGCAGTAGCGCCAAGACCACGTGACAACGATACTAACCGACGCTAACCGACCCTAGTCGTTTGACAGATAGGTACCGGTATTACGCCTTCGAACGGTCTGGACCTCTCGGTATCGACACCGATATAGTTTATTACCTACCTTACCTACGCTATAACTTGCTTGCAGTTTTCCACCGTCGACATGGGATTTTTTTTTCTCTTTCTGCGATTCATCTCATCCATCTGTAGGGGAAGGGTACAGTCGACAGACAGCAGCTAGCTGCGCTGTACCACCCAATTGAAATGCTTTTGGGGGCTACATAAAGATTGCGATATCGCGGGAACAGAAACCCGAGAACTGTCTGTCTACTGTATTAGGGAGCTTTCCCCCCGCCTCCCCCCCACCCTCTTCGCGGTTTTGACTCTTTGGTTAGGTACAGCAGTACTGTACCTACCACCAAAACCTTCTTGGATTCTGCCGCCCCCTCATCTCCCTAAATCCGGCCCTTCCTCTACGCAACTGTCGACCCAACCAAGAACACCACCACATCACAGCACAGCACAGCACACACGTACAAGATCATCATCTACCGGTATCACCGCGCGGAATCTCACCGCGAATCCATCGCTGCTGCCATCTTCCAAGGTTCCGTTAGACATCGCCTTATAGAGTTGTCAAGCGTGCATAGCATTTCCGAAGGCCAAAAAGTTTTCCTATGCCACGAACATACCGGTAGTGGATCATGATCCCGCATACCTCGACATCTTAAACTGAAAGCCGCTCTACGAAATGAGAGTTTTTTCTTATGCGGCCCACACAACTGGCCGGAAACGAGGGTAGAATGATGGGAGGGAAAAGAAGCTATTCGCAAAGTCGGTTTATTGCAGGATCGCGAGGGGACGTAGATTGTCAAAAAACAGCGGGTCAAATTCGGATTTGATCTACGCAAGCCACTTCTACTTGCTCTTACTAGTTTGGCCAATGTTACCACGAGTGGAACAAGAGTAAGGCGTCGCTAGCTTTTCCGCTTCTTCCATTTGCTCCCAGCTTTGATCTTAAGTCGCTCGAGAGGAGAGGTGGGGTTTGGTTGGTGGTTCTGATATTCGGAGACCGAGGTACGCTTTCGAAGTCGATCCGTAAACTTCGTAGATTGTATGATGGGAAGTCTACATTTCTATATTCTAGACTTATGCCGATGCTCGTTCTTGTGTGCTACCTACCTATGCTTTCACCAAGGGAGGATCTTACAGCTGGCCATGGATCTCCTTGCCTTGGAACCCTCGTCTATCCCTCCACAACACTTTCCTCAACCTCCCAATCCTCCCAAGTCGGAGCATCAAACCCATTGGGTCGACTCGCGCGATCGAACCCCACTCTCAGTCCCTCTATCGTCACCGGACTTCGACACCAGCTAATCACCTCTCCGAAGCCCCGGCTGAAAGCGGTCTGCATGAGGCTCTTGTCAAAGAGCTCCGGGTGGGCTCTGCGCATGCTCTTCAGCGCTCTCCCGCCAACTTCATCGACGCTATCGGCGTGTCGCAAACCAAAGAAATCCTCATCGTGGTCGGCGCGGACCCGCGCTTGGACATCGTTCCCATAGAGCCCCAGTCCCAGGAGAAAGACATCGTACTGGCAGAGGCTCGTGCGACCAACCCAGCTACCCCCATCCGTTGCCCGCCGGAAGAGTCCCGTCAGAGCAGCAATGGCACCCATACATCCAGTTCCGTAGTCGGACATGGGGAAGGGAGGAACAACGGGCTCATCCAGTCCCATGAACTGGCCTTGGGCCCACGCGACACCGGTGTAGCAGTCCGCAATCTGCTGCCAGCCTGGTCGCCCAGCCATGTCCCCCTTATTGCCAAAGCAGTCCTCTGCCACGTACACGATACCCTTGCCTCGTCCCTTGGTCAGCTCCACGAGCTTTTCAGGTCCGTAGCCCAATCGCTCCAAGCTACCAGGTCTATAGCCGTCAAGGACTACATCGGCGGTTTGGAGAAGCTCTTCGAATGCCTGCCGGCCAGCTGGAGTTTTCAGGTCAAGATCGCAAGTGTGCTTGCCAGTGTTGCCATCGACTTGGAAGAAAGGAACATCGGAAAGATTAGGCGAGGTCACTTTGATTACCTGGGCTCCATATTCAGCGAGAGTGCGCCCCATGGCTGGACCTGCGATGATACGGCATAGTTCGAGAACCCGGATCCCAGCAAGGACTTGCGGCTTTGAGGATGGGGTGGGTGGCGAGGGAGAGGCGGAGAAGGGTACTGGGGGTGAGTCGGCAATTTTCCGCACTTCCCAAGGAGGAATGGAGAGGAGTGTTTGTCCCTGGACGGGTTAGATTTTGGTCTCGAAGAGCTTGAGGAAGCCTACGTGATTGGTTTGCTTGAACTCCTCCCACTTGATTACGGGAACGCCTGCTTGCCTCTCCCTTGCGTTCATCTCTTCCAACTCAGGAACAGTGAACTTCTTAACATGGCTCTCGATCACATCGATGCATTCTCGGTAGTCGGTCAGATCTGGTCGGTATGCTTCCAAGCCGATCATGTTCAAGGTCTTGCCAGCCTCGAGAGATCCATGGATGTGGTAGTACTCTCCAGGATTCTTGGTCTCGTAGAGATTGGCAGATAACCTTCGGTATAAAATTGCTTGCGCCTCGAGCAAATCGGTTTCTAGGAGCAATTAGGGCACGTAGACCACCTTCGATAGGAGAACTTACTCTTGAGTTTCGATTTGACATTTGGATCTTGCTTTCCCATACCAGCAATCGTGGCAATGTATGTCGAGAATAAAAAAGTGGCCGTTCGCTCCAAGTCCACCTCGATTTTTCTCTTCGGTGCATCGTTTGGAAATCGGAGTTGAGCGAGGGCCGCTACCGCGGCTGCTTCAACTGACTTAAGAGCAACAGTCGCTTCAGTCTCTTTGAACGGGCATGGAAAGTATAGTTGGGTTCCATCAGTGGCGGTCGTTAAAGTGACCTCGTCCAGATGCGGTAAAAATTCCGGTGGTATCTGATTCCCGGCGACCTGCTTCAAGAATTGTGTAGCCTTTTTGCTGCCATCGAGCACCGAATAAGGAGGGTGAGCGCCATTTTGCTGACCAGAAGTATCGACAGCCATCTTGAGTTGGAGGCCCTCGGTACCTCGATGTGTAAGAGGGAATGAGGTGGACCACGTCTCCGAGGTATATATCGATATTGCGAGGCAGCTAGCGGATACTTGAGGGTGCGGGTAAGGTCCGAAGAGAAAAATCGGCTCCGACGAGAATGGAAGATAAAGTTAACGATCCTTGCAGAAGGTAAAGATGACACAATACCTGGATACGGAGAACGTAGCAGAAGGTATGATTGCCAGCTAACAATTCGTCAGTAATGCAGCCTGCAGGGACATCATCCGATGAGAATCACAACCGAGTAGCCATGGCCATGGGCTGTTGATCAACGGCCTCTGCGCAATGGAGTCACCCGAGACCTGCTGAAGCAACCAAAGCAGAGTGGCTTGCTCCAGGTCGTAGTGAGAGGTACGTACGTCGTGGTGGCCATTGTAAGTCGTTGTTGACGTTGACGGTGAGTTGTCCCCGAGGAGTTAGAGGTGCTGAGGCTGCTTAGGTGCATTATCCGATGGGGGCCTTCGGTTCATTACTAACTAGTAAGTAAGATGGAGAGATCACATGACCCGACAGAAAGGCTAAATTTCATGTCAGGTACGGTACACTGGTTAGGTAGCTAGACCCCTGAATCTAGACTGACTGTAAGTAAATCTAGATATCTATATCTCTCTGTATATATGTCTAGAATTCCGACTTTGCTACCTCTGCAAGAGGCCAAAAGTATTCAAGTTCAGGTTTGAGTGAGAGGGGGGCCTTCTTTTTAGACTTTATTAGCGTGAAATGCCTGCCAATCCAAGGTTACCAATTCAATTGACATCACAAGAACACAATGAAAACAACTCCCTTCCTCCCACCAATGTCACATTACCTACATGACATCGATCCCGCATTATCGCCAGTCTTCATCCGGGTCACTACCATCATTGCTATTACCACTGACAATTACCACTAGCGATATATACGTGCACATACACATATATACATACACATAGGTATATATTCATATACATATATATATGTATAGACACACATATACATATATATACATATATATATATACATACTCGCCAGTTTCAGCTCGACCTTCTTCGCGATTCATACCCCTTCTTTTATCTATATCTCCCCCTCATCCGACGAGCTCTCCCCCGAACCAGCTACCGCTCCGACGCCACCGGCTCCCTTGCCGCCCATTCCGTCAACCTAAGGCGCCTCAAAGTTGGTTAGGGGTCTCCTCAAAGGCATCGGGAGAGAGTCTCGAGCTGCGCTTGCAGGAGTGTCGGTCGGCGTTTGTGTTGTGCTGACAGCAGCGGAACGAGACTGAATCGGATCATGCTCGGCATGGTTCATGCCTCTTGACACGTACGCTCAGTAAAAGGCTATTATAATGACTCGTCCAAAAGTCGACCCAGACAGGCGGCAAAGAACTGCACAAGCATGCGATTCTTGCAAGCGTCGAAAGCAAAAGGTCAGTACCAGTTATTCTTGACTATTGGGTCAGTGTTGTTGCTTGCTCTGCGTACGTCTGTCACTGCATGCATTTAATCATATTTCCACATCTTATGGGTTCAAAACATCGGTTAGATCTTGCACCCTATCTTAGATCGCAACTGGTATCAAGTCATAGAGATGCTCTCTAGAAGTTATGTTATATTTTGGTTGATTGGGTGGGTGTGTCGAACTTGGCTTTTTGAGAGTGTCCATCTCTGGTCATACTGGCCGTCATACGGAATCATACCTTTTATCTCCCCATAGGGGACTATCTGTGGACTATTCTAAATCCTGTGTTGCATATCCGGTTTTGTCCTGTTTTGAGAGGCCCGTACGAAATTCTTCGGTGGTGATAGTCTCTAGTGAAAGCATTCTGCATGAATCTCCCCTTTGCTACACCCTTAGTTTTTCTTCTACCGGATTTTTCAATTGGACCAGCCCAGCTCTCATAATATCATCAGGTTCGGGTGCTGACTGACTCGCACACAGTGCAATGGTGCAAAACCCTGTTGGACTTGCTCTAAGAGAAGCCTGCTGTGTTCTTATGGGGACGAACCCGCAGTTGATGATACAAAATCCTCTCCGAAACGCTTGAAAGGACCTATTCTCACCAGCGCAAATTCAGATGCAGATGCTGGTACCGGTCACCAAAAATCACCCATTGATGGGCATCCTTCCGTGTCGGCAAGCGATCAAAGCCATAAAGACTTGCCTGCTAATGGTCTTCCGGTTGCTAATGGCGCCGTCCAAGGAGGCCTTCCTGGTGGCTTGCCTGATGTTGTGGCTGACAACAATGAACCCGCAAGTGTAGCGTCGCAATACGAGGAAGCTGTTATCTATACCAATACTCGAATGCTCCAAGATCCAACGGGAAGGCTGTGTAAGTACTGGTCACTGACCGCTCTCGCCCGTCTCATGTACTATGTAACTGGATGACCGAAACAAAGCGTTACTGACCAGGCATGGCAGTATATATTGGAGATTCGGCTTCATTGTCATTCTTACAATTGATCCGAATGATTGTCGAGAACGTCGCGGGGCCATCTCGCTTTACTCAGGATCCACTCAGGCACCGAATCGTTGAAGGCACAACATCTTTACCACCGAACATCCGACACACCCACCTCCTGCCGGATCGCGAAACAGCTAACACGCTCGTTGAGTCCTATTTCACAAACGCAAGTATATTTTGGGCTCCAGGCTCGTTTCACGTCTAACATTGAGCAGGTTAATGGTCTTATCGAATTCTGCCATCGCAAGTCATTCATGACCACATTGGACCGGTGCTATACCGATCCGCTAAACATAGATCCACAGTGGCTTTGCCTACTGAATCTCGTCTTTGCGATCGGTCTCACTATGGCTGGTCCCCTCCCTGGGACTCCGGAAGATGTCATCATAAGGAGGTTACGAGCAGATCCAGTCGACAGAGCTGAGATGTTTTATGAGAACGCCAAGGAGCTTCGTGATCCCTCTACAGGATTCGAGGATTCTGGGTTCTGGAGCATACAGGCTCTCACGCTCATGTCTGTCTACATGCTTGCTGTCTCGAGAAGAAATGCAGCGTACGCTTTATATGGTTAGTGATTCACCGCGTATAATGAGTTTTCCTAATCCGCTTAGGCATGGCTGTGCGTTCTGCTTTTGCACTGGGTCTCCATCGAGAGGAGACGATGTGCATATTTGGCAGTGCTGAACAGTCCGTCCGTCGAAATCTTTGGCGCTCATTGTTTGTTCTGGATCGGTTCCTCGCAACATCTCTGTAAGAGTTATCCGGCGACAGCCATATTCCCTATCTTGTGTCTCATGAGTGGTTTTTCCGCAACACTCTTGATATATGCAAAGATGAACGTTGCCAACGTGCTGATCATCCAGTGGCCGTCCTACCGCTATCCGAGAAAGTGACTGCTCTGGCAGTACCCTTTTGACAGGCGAAAGCCCACCTTTCCCCCAGGCACCCTTCCCAACGGTCGCGAACGCAAGCTTTACTAGCTCAAGTGCACTTGGTCTAGAAGCATCTGTCCGCAGTTGTCACGTTGTTGGTGTGATTTTGGAAAAGGTATATTCGAAGCGAAAAATATCTACGAGACTTGCACAAGAGATTGCAGACTCGTGCAAAGGCTGGCCAAAAGCTCTGGATCCAAGTCTTAATCATCGGCAAGCTTCCACAGCCACTCGGGAGCAAGGGGTCGCAATTCTGCATGTCAACCTCCTGTACTTCCACTCTATCATCCTACTCACCAGGCCATTTTACCTATACCTGATGAACAAGGCATATCAGGTTCCAGATATTTCAGGCCTTGACTCTGGACCAAAATCGCATAGGTCTCGGTAAGTACAGATCCCCAACCCATTTTTCCAGCTTGGTGATATTTCCTGCTCCCGGAACATGCCTAGAGAGCCGATTAGACAGTCTCTCAGATCCCTGAATATTACTAAACGCAGCGCTGACTGTATCCGAGCATGGAAAAATTCGCTGCTACGTGTGTGATCGCAAGCACTCAGAGTATCGCCTTGGTACAAAGTGCTCACGAAAATTGCCATTTATCACAGCGGAATCCTTTTGTTCTGTAAGCCACTCATTTCTTCCACCTTGAGTCCAGTTCTAAATTTGGATAGATACTTCATATTCGCCGCTAGTCTTGTGGTCTTAGCGAACGAGTTTTGTGGACTCTACTCGAACCCAAATGCCGATAATTCTCTCAACAACGCCATAAATGTCATACATCACTTCAGTGATCAGGACCCACAGGCCCGCCGCCTCCTCGTCATCTTGGAGTCCTTCCGCGAGGTAGTGGTTCAACAGCAGGCCATCCGCGCTCACCAACCAGGTGCAGCCTTATCTCTGGCAGAAGAAAATAACGATGCGATGGCAAATCTCTTTTACGGCTCGGCACCAACTATCCCCACCAACGATCCGTATGCGATCCCTGGACTCGATCCGACCGTACTTCCCTCCGACACTCCACAATTTTCAGGCCCAGTTCCATTGGCGAGCGATTTCTCTCCGCCTAACGGTAACATTCGCAGTGGTGCATCCCGAAGTAACTCTATCGATGCATTCTTCGATCTTGCTCGGGTATCGTCACAGCCAAATAGTCGAGAAGGCAGTGATGGAAACGGTTCTACCGGCGAGAGAGAGTTCGACTTCGATAGCCTGTGGCAATTCTCGGCCATTGGGCCACCTCTTACCCCTAGCTCAGTGTCTGCTTCAAATCCCAACATTGTTGCTCCGAGTTTGCCAATGGGAGAGAATGGAATTCAAGGAATGACCGAGAGTCACATCCCTTTGTACGGATTGTCCAACGGGGGCTTTGAATTGTAGTATCTACTGTACAGGTGGGGCGATGACTACCTACTAGGCTTGGTCAAGGGGGGCTTTGGTGCTGCTGGGTTGGGTTGGCAACTTGGTGTTAGGGGTAAGTAATTGTCGCTTTGTAAAGATGAATGACCACAGGAGTGTATATAGCACATACGTTTTCGATGAGACATATCAAGGTGTGGAAAATGGAGGGCCAGTAAGTAAGTAAAGTAGTATACCCATTTCAACCACTGATCCAGTACCATTCTGGTTCATTCCGGAGAGATTTTCGACAGCCTTCGACCCCGAGTCGTTGGCTTACTTACTACCAAGTAACCGGAGCTCAAAAGGCTCTCTCGTCCAATAAACAATGTTCTGTAGGCTTTCATCTGACCAGACCAAGAAGTCAGGTCTCGGTCCTCCGGATGTTTTGCATCAATCGCAGTGTAATTATCTCCAACCACCTCCGACAATCCCGTACTCACTAGCTGAAGCAAGCTACTAACGTTCTGCTCGCGGAGCAGCAAGCGGCGATCGGATATATCCCTATCCACCAGACACCGAAACGTGAACCATCACGAATCGTCCTCAATCCACCCTTGCTACTAGCGCCCTATTCCTTCCAAGATTCACCCACCCACCACCCGCTCCATTCTTTTCAAGCCGTGGAAACAAATCCTCACATGCTGCTATCAACCAAATGGAACTTCGTACCCTTCTATCACCAATCAGTCTTGGCTCAGCGAGCTGGTCGGTCCGCTGAGAAAAACGGACAAACTGAGCACCAGTTCTCCTCTCCCGTCAGGTACGACACGGACATATTAGGCCACGCGGCATATCATATTATATCACCGGTAAAACCCCCATCATGTACCTATTCTAGTCGGTTTGTAGGAACGAGAAATCTCATATGTCTAGTCGGGTTTTGCATCCCCCCTCCCATCATTTCCCAACCCCCCCTCCTTTCTTTAAAGGACGTTTTCCTTCGCCATCTTTTCTGTTCTGATCAAAATCGAGATTTAGTTAGTATTGTTATTTAGTACATACAGCTAGCTCTTTCCTCAGAGAGAGAGAGAGAGAGAGAGAGAGAGAGAGAAAAGAGAAAATGAAAAGAAAATCGCCTCAACCGGGTACCAAATCAGTCAGTCAGGAGGGGACTGACTGCCCCTGTTTCCTTCAAAAGGGAGTCAGTCAGTCGCATTAAGCCTCCCTACTATCTAGGTATCTATCTGCGTACCATGATCTCCTCGTTTGAAGAGGAGATGCGAATAACGGAGTGGCCACCAGCAGTAAGTTCGACGAAGGCCATGGAAGAAGCGCAAGAGACGAGCGTTATAAATATTGAGTGAGTGGAGGTTGCTGACAGAAAGATCTATTCGGGCGGGGTAGACTTCGAGACAGCGCAGGGAATGAAGTGAAATGCTGTTGTGAGTGTGCTGTCAATGAGGGAGGCAGGCAGGTTTGGTGACAATCGGCGCCGGCCTGAATCTACTGGCAACGAGGACCTACCTACCTACCTAACTTGGGTATGTTTCCATTCTCGAATCAAAGAAGATCATCACATTTCCAGGTCTCCAGAGCGGTGTGTGGAATGCGGAGAATGAATCATTGTTCATCTACAGAACCGCCGAGCATCCCCCGTAACACTCAAACCTCAAGTAGCCGCGAATTTCCAACAAAGTTATCCCCATCCTTAATCGTGGTATGTGCAAGATGATCGCCGATGCTGGGACCCCCTTCCGATATCCCTCTCAGCAATCTGATCATGTTTTCATCTGCCTGCAACTCGAGCTTACACGTGAGAATCATAATCGTACAATCATACATACTTGCGCAACTGCATAATCGTTAGTCAACGAAATCTTGGACGTTGGAGAGAACTTACATCGAGCGTCAAGGTCTTCGAGCTGTTGGCCTCCTGGTCTCTAAAAACACCCACTAAGCTCTCACTGCCCTGGAACAAACCCGTCTTCAAACTAATGACGATGAACTGCATACCAGGACCTGCATGCTCTCGGATGTAGTTCTTGATCTTCTCAACATTGGCATTGTCAAGAGCAGCGTCAACCTCGTCAAGAACGAAGAAGGGACTGGGTTGATACGAGTGCACAGCGAAGAGAAGTGCGAGGGCTGCCATTGTCTTTTCTCCTCCCGAAAGATGCTCCATGTCTCTGAAACGCTTCAGAGGCGGCATAGCATGGTATTTGATGCCGGAAAGGTATGGCGCATCGCTGTCTTCGATATCTAGGTACGCCTGGCCGCCAAGAGGGAATGCCGAGGATCGAGTAAGATCTTTGTAGACATGGGTAATCTGCTCCGAGATATGTGAAAAAGCCTTGTTGAACAGATCAAAGCGCTTCTCTTTGACTTCCAAGAATGCATCCCTCGATTTCTTGGCTAATTTCCTAGCATCCTCAAAGTCTTTTTCGGTAGCTTTTAGACGTGCCTCAACACCGTCTAGTCGATCAATCGCGCGCATGTTCGGATTCAGCTTCTCGAGTTCAGCACTCAGATCAGTGATACGCTGAAGCAATTGCTCCTCAACCTCTTCCTCATCGGGCTATCAGAATGTTAGTGGAGGCCTCTCTGAAGCTGGCAAGACCGACTTACTTTCTGCAAGTCGTCATCGAGATCATCAAAGTTCACCTCGATGCCATAATCCTTTAATTGCTGAGGCGCTTCCTCGTCCTCGTCGACATCCATGGCATCAGGGTCGGCCTGGAGAACATTGTCATCAACGGGCAGAGAATCGAGTTTCCTCGAGTGTTGCGCCAAAGGAATTGCAATCTGCTCCAGCTTGCATCGCCGGAGGATTGCGTACCGGCCGGCAGAGTTGCGCTGTACCTCCGCCTCGAGGGCGGTGATTGCCTTAGTCCGCATGTCAATCTCCTTGCTCCGCCTTTGAAGCTCGTTTCGAGCCTGGTTAACCTTTTCGCTCTTTGCTGCAAGTTTTTCCTTTAGCTTGTGCACTTCGTCCTCGAACGTAGTAATCTCAGCTCTGTCGATATCGATGGAATTTTCTAGAGCTGCCTTCTCCTGCCCGAGTTCCTCAATATTATTGCTGAGGGCCTCGACACGATCTTCAAGACGCTGGAGTCGCATAGCGATCTCCTTATGTTGATTGACTTCCCAGTTAAGTGTTGTAGTCAATCTTTGCTTCTGCACCTCGAACGAGCTTTTCTTTTCAGCAGCTTCTTGCTCCAGACTGCCTTGCTGAGCTTCGTAGGCACGAATGTCGGCATAACCGAGTCTCTTGCAGAATTCAGAGAAAACTTCATCTTGCACTTTGGCCACAGCATCCCTGAATTCATCTACCTTTTCGGTAATGTTTTCAAGACCAGATTCCTTCTCCTCGTACTTAGGCTGCATTTCATTCAATTGACGCTGCTCGTGGGCTAGCTCTTTCTTCTTGCTTGCAAGGTTCTGTTCAAATGCGGCGAGCTCACTTTTCGAGTAGGCCAGGCGCTGCTCCAGGCCAGCTAATTCATTCTGAAGGCTCTCTTCCACCGCGCCTCTGCGATTGACCTTAGGGAGTGCCTCAATCTCTTCACGGAACTTCTCGGCCTGGCCTTTAAGCTTCTGGATGTCATCGTCGCCGAACTTTCGCTTATTGTTTTTGTTCTCGGGCATACGACCACCGGTCATTGGTCCATCTTTGTAGATGACGAAGCCTTCAAGCGTAACGGCCTTGACTTGCATTTTTCTCTCATAGACAATGTTTTTGGCGGTCTTCAGATCGTCGCATACAATAGACGTGCCACAAGCATATGCCATTGCTCGTTCCAGAGAAGAATCGAAGTCAATTGTATCGATAGTGAGGCGAGCCTTCGGGAGCCCTTTGAGATTCGCATCGGGAGCAGAGACTTTGATGTTGTCGAGGGGAATGAATGTCATCGGGCTGAAGCGTTGATCTTTTAGGTACTGGACACAGTCTGTGCCAATCTTCTCAGTATCAACAACCACAGAGTCAAAGTCCCGGCCGAGAGCAGTGCTAACGGCCTCCTCGTACTTCTTTTGTTTTGGTTTACACAAGTCGCCAACACGACCACGCACACCCGGATAAAGGCGCTTGAGTGCGATAATCGTATCCTTCGTCCTCTGTTCCTTGTCATTTTGTCTGCGGCCAAAGTTCGCTTCGTCAATGGTCCTCAACAAAGCCTGCAGCTTTTCCTCCTTTTCTGTGTGCAACTGGTTGATACGAACACGTTCTGACTGGATATGGTTGACTTCCTTCTTTTTGGAGTCGATCTCCTTTGAGATATCTTTGACGGCCTGCCTCGTTGTCTCCTTGCGCTCGCTGATGGTATTGACTTCAGCCTCGAGCTTTTCAATAGAGGCTCGAAATGCTTCGACTTTTCCTTTGAGGCTGTTGACTGTAACCTCATCAGTTTTCATTTGTCGCACAAGATTTTCCAGCTTGGACTGATTGTTTGCAGTCTTTGCCATCACTTGAGATCTGAGAGTATTGTACTCCTTGAAGTCGGCATCACTCAATTGCTTTCCTTGCTTCTTCAGAGTTTCCTCCCATTGGAGCTCGAACTGTTTTTGGGCCTTCTGAATGATCGCAAGATCCTTTTTTGAGCGCTCTATTAGAGAGGCCTGATTCTCCCGTTCCTTCATGACAGATTCGATTCTTCGTCGAATTTTCTCAATATCGGCGTTGCTGAGGTCCACCTTTTCATCGATAGGTACCAGACTGTTCTCTTTTGCCTCGACATCTTTCTCCTTATTCTTGATGCTTCGCTCCACTTTCGCGACATCCCTACTGACCTTGGCCTGGGCCTGGCGAGCTTCCTCGAGAGTCTTTTCGTACTTCTCAACACCTCGCCGATACTCTTTCAGATTTTCCTGATGTTCCTGAATACTGGCCGTAGATTCCTCCATTACGCGCTGGAAGTGGTAGAGTTTCCAGAGGATATGCGTAACAATCGCATCGTCACGCTCATCTGCCTTAGCCTGGTACGCTTCGGCTTCTTTCTTCTGCTCCTGGTATTGTTTGATCTCAGAGTTGATGCCGCGACGACGATGGAGGTTGTAGTTTTGATTCTCGGCTGCCTGTCCGGACTCTTCCTCTAATCGCTCATATTCTGCCTTGTATTCCAGACTTCCCGAGATTTGCTCGATCAGTCGAGTGAGGTCCTTGGGTGATTGGGATGCAATGGCCTCGACGTCTCCCTGAAAGACAAGGAAGTTCCGCGCTTTTATGAGAATATTCTCAGTCTCCAAGGATTCATTGTACTGTGACGCAGTGACCACGCGATCGTTGATTCGATATTCGCTAGAGCCTTGGTTGGTGATTGTGCGCTTCCATTTCTGCTCGTCGCCAGCATCGTCCTCGTATACAGCCATAACCCACGCGCTCTTGGGATCGTTGCGACCAGGGCGTTGTGCTTGCGACTCCCCATCAGAAGCTTCTCCATCGCCGTTCGCGTCGCCATCCTGACCCGGGGCTACTGCAGAACCGTCATCATTGATTTTGGATGTCTTCAAAACTCGCCCACGGTAGACGAGGTCTCGGAGATGCGCTGATCGAAGATGGGATGATTTGATACCAAGCACGAAAGAAATCGCGTCCATGCTATTTGCACTTAGCGACACGCATAACGAGCCCGATCGTTGCTTGACTTACGAGTTGGATTTCCCCGAGCCATTGGGGCCGATGATGGAGGTAAAGTAGGCATCGCCGAAAAGAAGGGTGTGGTGGCCTTTGTAAGACTTGAAATCTGTTGCGCAGTAAGCCCAGGCCAGGAATCATACAAGATACGCGGCTAACATACTGAAGAGCTCAAGGCGGATTAACTTCCCCATATCGAGGTCGACGCGTGGGCGTGTTGAGGGAGGAAGAGGGTAACACGCGCTGGCAGAATTGCGCCCTCGGCGTCGTAGCAACTATGAGTCGAATAAATTGACGCGCATCAATATTGAGGTCGCGATTGCAGTCACAGAGTCGCGTCAAAGGGCGGTATGGATGGCGGAAGATGTGGGGTTCACGGCGGAAGCAGTGCGTGTTGAACGTCGCGAGATGCTGCCGACGCGATCTGGTGTAAAATATATGTCACGTGTCAGAATTTTGTGGAGGTCCCTGCAAGTTTGACGCCGAAGCTGAGTAAATGGACTCGAATCACGTGCCGTATTCTATACCAAAAAGAACTCTCGGAATACAAGAGCTTGGATGTGAAGAAAAGGGGCTATATGCTTCCTTTATCTCTTCGACAGAAAATAAAAAGGTCTACAGCAAGAGATTCTTCAGCGTCCTGGTCGGCTGATCCCCGGACTCTCAAAGGCCAAGATACCTGCATACTAGACGAACCTCAGCTTGGCGGTCGATGATGTAACTTACCAACACAACTTCACGTTTACATTCTCCTGAACCTAACGCCCATGCGCAACTGGGAAGACTTCTGCGGAGAGTCTCGCTCAGAGTTTCCTCACCCACCGTCCATCGCCGCTCAATATTCAAAATGTCGGAACCTCTCCCCATACCGGTAAAGCCCGGACAAGGTTCAGAGACTGGCATGCTGTCACCAGAACCAGAATTGGCTCGCGACACAGGCTCTCCAACGGACTCTTCGCCGCCAGAAGAAATGAAGACGCCTATCTTGTCTGCGTCGACTCCTGGCAGTCCACGAATGTCCCGAAACCCCTCGTTCTCCGGAAGTAGTTCTTATCAGGAGGACTGGGAGGGCTTTCCGCCGCTGGACAAACTTACGGTCTTCGACCTGCTGGAAAACTTTGCCCTCCCCGAACGATTAGAGAAGATACAGCGGAACATATCTGCGCAGACTGAGAAAGTACGCAGGCAGCGAGATGTGTTGAAGACTCGCGGCAGTCATGCAAAAGAGCGTGTGGTTGAGGAATGGCGGAGACGAGTCCCGACAGCAGATGAGCAGTTGGATCGATACAGGAAGCGTATGCGTGATAATGTCGATCGACTCGGGAGACGGTGGAATGATACAAAGGCTGTAACAGCCCGAGAGAAGGTCGCTTTTATATGCGGAGTCCTTAATGTTCTGATCAGTGGATACCTCATCGGCGGCTACCCCGAGCTCTTCCACTACTGGTACACAGCGCAACTCCTCTATTTCATGCCCATCCGCTACTATACCTACCACAAAATAGGCTACCATTACTTCCTGGCCGACCTCTGCTACTTCGTCAACTTTCTTTGCATGTGCACCATTTGGTTCTTCCCGAACTCCAAGCGCCTCTTTATAAGCACCTACTGCCTAGCCTTCGGCAACAACGCCATCGCCATCGCCATGTGGAGAAACAGCATGGTCTTCCACAGCTTCGACAAAGTAACTAGTCTCTTCATCCACATCATGCCCTGTGTAACACTTCATTGCCTCGTCCATCTCATCAGCCCGGAGCACCAAGAACAGCGCTTCAACGCAATCTACACCATCAAGACCTCTCTCCCCGGCTCCAAAACCCACTACTCCCTCTTCGATATGACCCTTTGGTCCACCATCCCCTACCTTGTCTGGCAACTCTCCTACCACTTCTTGATCACTATCCGACGCCGCGAGAAGATCGCCGCCGGCCGTCCAACATCCTTCACCTGGCTGCGGAAATCCTACTCCAAGGCCTGGATCGGGAAAATCGTGCTCTCCCTGCCCGAAGCGCTGCAAGAGCCCGCTTTTATGCTGATCCAATACTCGTACGCAGTGGCCACGATGCTGCCATGCCCGCTGTGGTTCTGGTACCGACACGCGTCGGCGAGCTTCCTGATGGCAGTGTTCTGCTGGTCGGTGTACAATGGCGCGACATACTACATCGATGTTTTCGGCAAGCGCTTCCAGAACGAGCTGGAGGCCATGAAGAAGGAGGTGTCAAAGTGGCAGAACAGCCCGGACATGACGCCTAGGGCCGAAGGAGGTGCGGAGCTGGGCCCGGAGCTGGGGAGCGATGGGGATGGCCAGAGCAATGAGAGACCGCGCAGCGTAGATAATATCCCCTTGCTGAAGGACGGGGGCAGTACGGGCATGGACATGGATGGCGGAGCGAAGGACGTGGCAAGGGAGAGGAAAGTCGGGGATGTGCCGCAGTGATTTTCCTGATGTTTGCTTAACTTGCAACATTGATAGCACTTGCACTCTTTTTACTCGGAATGGGTTAGTCGCCTGTAAGCTTCTCGTTGCTTTTCAGCCGTAGGGCTCGCTGGCAAAGGATTTTGAGGCATGAGGGAGGGAGCGAGCGAGGGAGGATATACCACAAGGCGTTAAGGATCAGTTCTTTGTGCAGCTCTATTTACGTACGCAGTAACGGCGATAGATATACCAAGTAATAATCGATTGATCGATCGATCCACGAATACTATATGCGCAAAACAAAATCGAAAACAACATTGAGAATGAAAATAACGTACCTATCTGTCCCGTCCTAAGAAGTAGGCAGTGAGTAATTCCTCCTCCTCCTCAAAAGTCTCTCTGTCTTCCCAGCTACAAGTTACGAGCTACAAATAGAGCTTCGAACTCTGAACTCTCCTCAAAGTCGATTACTCCCCTTGTCACATGTGGATAATAACACTTAACTAAGCTGTATACGTGTGTGTATGTGTGTGTATGTGTTGCAAGGTATCGTCTCTCTATCTGTCAGAACCTGAGATCCCCAGCGAGGAACAGACCAGACGGCGTCTGCCTAGCTACACAAGTTGCATGATACAGAGAAAAAAGGCTCAGCTATCCCGCCCGTGTCGATTCTCCTCTACCCTCTTTGGTAGAGCAGATGGTAAAAGAAAAGATTAAGCGCTCAGATTCCCCTCCCCTACCACCCCCTAAGCAAGGTTGGGCAAGTGGGTAAGAAAGCAACCCCGCCCCCTCCCCCCCCCCATTCCTCCGACCATGAAGCTAAGCGAACCAACTCCCCGCTCCAGACAGACCAGGTTCCGTGTTAGCACAAGCCGAGAACGCCGTTCAATCATGCTCATCGTAAAAAAGCCTTCCTTTCGCCATCGCCGAACTCCGCTCGTTTTGGTTGGTTTGCTGCACGCGTACACAAGGTTAAGAGAGGCCCCCCTTTCCTCATCTGATGACACCCCAATCTCCGAGCTTACTCCCACCTCCGGCACTACTCTCCTCTCGGTGTCCTGGTTTCCGCCCAAATACGTTCCAGAAGCGCAGTGTCTCATCCCCAGCACCCGTGGCTATCACGCGCCCATCTGGGCTCATGGCTAGATATAGTACACGATAGGTGTGTCCGGTGAGACTCACGACCTGCGTCATGCTCGGGTACTTCCACACCACGATCTGGTTCTGTGAGTAGCCGTGCGTACTGACAATCTCGTTGCTGTTCTTACTCCAAGCGAGATTGCAGACTTGCGAACCAGTGTCGATTTCATTGACAACCGTACCGCGTAGTGTATCGTGGAAGATGATTCTGCGGTCGGCGGTTCCTCCTCCAGAGGCGAGAAGGCCGCGTTGATGGGGTGACCAGGCGATAGCTTTTACGGCTGCCGTATGCTCGCTGAATTTCCAGAGGGGGGTCTCGTTCAGCTTGTCCCAGACCATGAGTTTGTTGTCGTTGCCGCCGGACGCTAGTTGACCGTCTTCGCAATTCCATCTTAAGCCGCAGACTTCTTGCTTGTGACCTACGAGTTTCTTGAGCCATTGATCTGGTGCTCGAACATCGCGGTGATAAATTAAGCGATCACGGGAGCCCGAGGTGAGAATATGGTCGTTCCAGGCGAGAGCTCCAACACGTGCTGTGTGTCCAGTCATCGTTCTTAATCGTCGTCTCCGCTCCGCATCCCAGATCTGGACTAGCCCCTTCCCCGTTCCAACGGCAAGGTGAGAGCCACGTTGAATCCACGATACGCTTGTCACGGTATCGTCTTGAAGTTCGCATAATTTGTCGACTTTGCCTGATTGGGAGTTCCACATGTACACACAGCTTCCGAGTCCAACACCAAGCGTGTTGCTACTTCCCCAGTCTACCAAATTGAGGTAGAAATCATCGGCTAGATCTGGGGCGTCTAAGACTTTGTATGGCACTTTGCTGACAGCGCGAGGTTGTTTACGAGGACTCAGTAACATTTGTTGGCTTCCTAGACGGACAGGAGAAAGGCTGTATATTTCCGATCTTGCGTTCAAATGGGGTCCATGTCGGCTTTGCGGTGTCCTCGAGGGCGTAGGATGGCCAGCAATGTTTGTGTGGTGTCTCGGGGACATGTAGGTGAAGAGATTCTTGTGTGGTGTCGATGGCGTCATGGAAACTGGAAGGGGGGCATTAGAAGAATTATTGGGAGGTGTATGTGAGCGTGTCGGGTCATGAACAGTCGTTGAGCGTGAGGATTGTAGTAAGCTGGAATCGGAGGAACGGTTTGGTGTGGTAGATTGAGGAACAGTGTTGTCGAAAATCTCTGATCGAAGCAGGTTCGAATAAGTCTGGTTCGCTTCCTCAGCTATCACTCAGTCAGCATGAGACTGTGCAACTCAAGGATGGAAGTGGTGCTTACTCCTTTGGAAATGAAGCTCGCCATAGGGAGGGCGCTTCTTTTGCTTGGAAGGTGTCGCAGGGGATCCTTCGTCGGGAAGTAGACTGAAGCTGGCTTGGAGATCCTGTCCTTCTCTGTTGGGAATGAATCTGAATGAAGTCTCTCAGTACTAATACTATCAAATTGGGGAGTCGGATCGAATGAATGCTGGAGGGGTGAAAATGGCCCAACTCGAATATGAACTCTATATTGCCCCCGCGACCCACCGCTACCACGCGATAAGATGCGGCAGACCCAGCCATCCATGCGCGCGCACAAAAAAGATGTCTCTTACCTGTCTCCATACACTCGTTGCCTCTTGCGACTCGGGCTTCCTCCAGGTGTCACATCCCGCGGTCTCCCAGCATCCTCGAACTCCTTCAAAAGTGCCTTGCTCAAAGCATTTGGGTCCACTGCTTCTACACCAGGCGTCCCAGTGGCTCTGGCATGCCGCGCACTATCTTCCATGGCTTTCCGCTCAGAATTTCTCTTTTCGGCCACTGGAAGAGGGGGGGTCGTGCTGCCGGGTGAAGTGGCCATAGGCGGCGTGTTCGAAGCATTCAGGGCCTTTGCAATATGCACGTGGGATATTCCAGAGCTGTAGAGCTCTTCTTGGGCTCCCATGGTATTCGTTTGACGGAGCAAATGGAGCCAATTCCAGGGTCGGCCTTGCTTGACAGGTTGTGGGGACTTCAATGTTGATGGAGAAGTTCCTCTGAGACTCCAGCGCGCGCTGAAGCAAGTCGCGTTTGTGAATTCGCGCCTTCGTTGGTAGAGAGGTGGTGAGTTGACAATTGTTTTTGACAATTGTTGCTGACGATGGCTGCCTCTGCCACCTGCTACCTCGGAATCTGGGATGAAACACCGAGAATAATTCCTCGTAGGCCTTCTTCAGGGTCGCAATTCTTCCAAGATTATCAGCAGCGATCCTCCTCCAGGTGCAATAGCCGTCGTCCTCGAAAGTTGGAATTATCGGTGGGGGGGTGTTGTTGTGACCAATTCTTTGGAGTCGTGGTGAACGTGCTTTGAGCCTCCTCGCGCTAAACCGTTCTAAGCGCCCTACAAAAAAATCTAAAGCAAGTGACCGAGGGGGAACGAACGACTTCAGCTTCCACGGAAAAGAGATGGAAAATTTTGAGCAAAGGTGAATGATGGATTGATAGAACAAAGGTGAAAGATGATAGGTTAGGTAGGTAAGTAAGTAAGTAGGTATACAATCGAGGCAGATGTCGAGAGACAGTGAATAATCCCCTACCCTACGGAGAGTGCAGTACAGCGTTCAGCGACCTCAGAACAGACCTCACCTCCCGTCGCGCTGCGAGGCCGTATCAAAACAAAGCCCGAAAGCAGTAATGATAATATCTAAGCGTTGCATCGACTCGTCCACTCGACACCTGCCCGAGGCTCTTTTCTCTTTTATTATGAAGGAGAACGACAGCCGCGACGCGACAGGCCGTCCTCCGAGTGGTCGACTTGTATTCAAGGGTCACGGGGACTGATTGGACCAGAATGATCAGACAGAGCTGCTGGGAAATAAATACGGGACATTACAACATCACAACGTCACAACATCACAACATCACAACATCACATCACGTTAATCACGTCAAGTCACATCACAACAACCAAAGTCGCGACGTGACGTGCCATGGACGGTCCCTTACCTCAGCGTCAGGCCCGTCGCCGCCTCTGGTCACCGCCTTTTGGTACCCAGGACTTTCCTCGCTTAGTAATCAGCCAGCCCGGCAGAATTTTTAGAAGCGCGCCTGTTACGGAGGTAATCATCCGGATCGTTACCGTGTCAACGCCGAGTTCGGCGCGTCTGTCAGCAGTAAAGCTGTGACAACGTGATCGTGGACGCGCCGGATTTGATTTTTGAATCCATACTTTTTCGAGGTTTGACATCCCTCGGTGTGAGTCTAACGTTGTAAATGCATTATCTGCGAACCCGGATCTATTGATATTGTATTAAATATGTCTTCGGCTGTCAGAGAAAGCGCTGTTGCGCGCTCATTTTGATAAGCGAGGCCTCGACTTCGAGATCGTCAGGCATCCAAGCCATCGGATGATAACGTCAGAAAACTGGACACTTCAGATGGAGGAGACCCCTATGAGGGGACCCCATGGGCCATGAGGGGGTTACGGAAGGGCGGCCCAGGCGATTAAGGCGATTAATCGACTCCCCTAAGTAGAACCGGGCGGCGGAGCGTGTGATCGGAATTTAGAGTTAAAGTGTGCGACCTACTACTTTAGGAACGGTTCGCATGTCCGTAGGTATGGCAGGGTACACGAACTTCATCCAAGGCGACCAAGAGCCCATCGAAAATAGGCTATTCAGAGAACCCCAGAAAAAGGTTCTCTGTCTGCTGTTGACTGAGCGGCGAGCATAATCTCTCAAGTGGAGAGACCGAACTCTGTTTTTCAAGTCATGCGAGGGAAGCGCTGGCACCATATACCACTCGTGCGTTGATCTTTTTAAACCGAGGAAAAAGGCTCCCACACTGTGAATAGTTGGCTAAGCGTAGATTGGACTCTATGTTTGGCTTGATTATAGGAGCGCACGGTTATATCCATAATCGCTGGTTCCGGCTCGTATTTACGCGATCATCAATCTTCCTCCCTCTCACCTGTGACCTCCTCCTTCTAGTTGTACATAACAACAAACCCCGCTTCAGGAAGGTAGATGGAAAATAAAGCTTGTAGAGGGCGGCGACATCGACGAGTCAGCGCTTACACTGGCCTTGTTTTCAATGGTATGACTAGAAAGTAGGTAGTAGTGCATACATGTCAACTTGGCGCACAGCCACATGGGAGATGGGATCTGAAGCGAGCTGTTATTACCTAAGAACGATTCCTCCTCTGTGGCTCTTGCTGCTCCTCCACCTCTCCACCGGTCTCTCCCTTTCATTTCTTTCAATTCCTTTCAAGTCTCCTAGCTCTCTCCTCCTCTTATCCCTGCACGACAAGAGCTCCTCTAGCCACCATGTGGCTCGCTTCGCTCATTCCTTCGGCCCGCGCTTGAAGCCAGGCCCCCCTTGCTCCCTGACAGTCTTAGATGTCTTGTGGAGTAGAGCCGCTTCCAAAGGTATAAGGTTACCTCCTAGCTGTTCTGGGCAGGTTCTGCTACTGGGTGAGAATTTAGGAAAATTGGGTCAGAGCCCCCCCGCAGCCGCTCCCGCAACGATGTGGGAATCTCCAGATTCGAGATTGCTGGCAGGTGGTCAACCAGGTACAGCCCTTGGGAAGCCCGTGGGAAGCTCTTGGCTTCGGCTTCGTTAATTGCACCGTCAAAAATACGTACTATGCTGTATGGGGTGAATAGCACAGTAAAAATAAACTCAAAGGTCCAGCTACTCCGAGTCGCTATAGTAGAAAGTAGTAATATAAAAGCAAGCTCTACCCGCTGCTATTTCCACCAGACAGCCAGCCAGCCACCCGGTCATACACAGCTTCTCCCTCCAGACTTTTGTTGTCAGCATCATGTTGTTTCAAGGACTTGCACTGACTGCGGCTCTTGCCAACCTGGCAGCTGCACAGATTCCGTCGGCTGTCGCCCCTGCTGCTTATAACGCTGGTGTGCCGACGGGAACGCCGGTTCCTGGCGTTTACAGTGGTCAATGGCGTCCCCAAATCCATTTTTCACCGCCGTCGAACTTCATGAATGACCCCAATGGCTGCTTTCTCGATGCCAATGGGACATGGCATCTTTACTATCAATGCAAGTCTTCCGTCACTCGTCACTTTCTCCGCTAACAGATCCATCAGACAACCCAGCACGTCCTGAGGCCGGTAACCAACATTGGGGACATGCCACATCCAAAGATCTCTACACTTGGGAGAATCAGCCAATCGCCCTTTACGCAACCGAGGATACCCAGGTCTTCTCGGGTAGCGTTGTCACCGACCCAAACAACACTTCCGGCTTCTTCCCGAACCAGGACAACGGTGTAGTTGCTATCTACACCCTCAACACGGCCCACGAGCAGACCCAAGCCATCTCCTACTCCCTCGACGGTGGTTACACCTTCGTGAACTACACCGGAAACCCTGTGCTCAGAGCCAGCCCTCCATCTTCCCAGTTCAGAGACCCCAAGGTCATCTGGTACGAGGACCACTGGGTCATGAGTATCGCCTACTCACAAGATTTCGTCGTTGGCATTTTCACCTCCCCAGATCTTAAGAATTGGACCCATGCCTCGAACTTCACAAGGATGGGAGTTCTCGGCCTCCAATATGAATGCCCCAACTTAGTCCGCATGCCCGTTCTCGGTGAGGAACCAATGTGGCTCATGGTCATCAGCATCAACCCCGGAGGACCAATTGGTGGTTCCTTTACCCAGTATTTCCCCGGCACTTTCAACGGCACGCACTTTGAAGCCGTCGACGATGCAGCCCGTATCCTCGATTTCACCAAGGACAACTACGCCGGCCATTTCTTCTACGGCGTCCCCGAGTCCGAGGATCCCGTCTTCATTGCCTGGGCCAGCAACTGGCAATACACCAACGAGGTGCCCACCGGCGAGCGTGAAGGCTGGAGAAGCGCAATGACTCTCCCCCGGCGAGCTCACCTCATCCGTAACGCCACTCGCAGCGGGTGGGTACTCGTCGGAACCCCGTACGATTTCACGCCTCTCCTTGATACACAGCTGGCCGTCGACGCCAACCTCGGCAACGGGACCATCTTATCAGACTACTCCTCCGTGAGCAGCGGGACCCTCTACTTCCAGGTTAATGTGACCGGCCTTCAGCGGCCCGCGCTCGGGACAGGAACGCTGAACTTCACGTTCACGGCTTCGTCGACGCGGGAGTCCATCACGGGCGGCTTCTACTTCGGCGGGACACCCGGAAACTTCCGCTACGACAACCCGTTCTGGGTGTCCCGCCACAACATCCTGGGATTTGCGGAGACGAATCCTTTCTTCACGAATAGATTCAGCGTCGCCAACATTTTGAACCCGGATGGCACCTTCACGCTAGAAGGGGTCATCGATCGCTCGATGCTGGAGATCTTCCTGGACGGCGGGCGCAGCACTGGCACGACGCTCTTCTACCCCGAAGGCGTGCTGGATACCATGGAGGTGAGGACCAGGGATCTGAACGAGGGTGTCGTTGTTAGTGTTGCCGTCTGGGGGGTGAAGAGCACGTGGGCCGGGCAGGCGAGTGAGGACGGGGTTGTGTATGGTAACGTGACGACCGTCACGCCGACGGGCTACGCCGCGATGCCCTTGCCACAATGACTTTTGGTTTCTGGCTTTGATAGTTGATGATAACCAATACCGTGCTGCAGCGTTGAAGTAAATACCCCCTGTTTTGACCCATTAAGCAGACTAGCTTAATCGAGCAGTACCTTTACTGTCCTTCGCTTCGCGTCGCTGAACGCGAGGAGAATATAAGATATATCCGATAGAAATAAAAAAAACAGATTATTCTAATAATTCCCGACTTCCGCATCAGCCTCAGTTACAACCCGACCACGCTCTGGCATACTCTTAACCAGCGCTTGAAATTGAAATTGAATTTGAATTTGAATTTGAAAATCGAAATCGAAATCGAAATCGCCGACCTTCTCCTACTTAGCGATATGTGTCAAAACAGGGGGAATTACCGGGACTTCAATGCTGTGCTACGTGCCTCCGTAAAAAAAATGCACGTTGACCCCCACCCATGCAGTTGTACCTGCACCCTTACTCCTCTGGTGACTGAGGGAGCGCCACGATACTTACCCCGTGATATATTTCTCTTAATTTTCTAACTTTGAGGTAGGGATCCACCCGATGGTAGTACCGTAGTACCGTAGTACATCACATGAATCAGGACCCCCGGCCATAGCTACCAGGGAGTTTGGGGAAGGAGTCTGGAGAGAGAAAAAATCTGACTTTCCGTACCCCGCACATACCGTTGGTCGACCATGCGGCGACTCCTCGAAGAGATTTTCCCTTACCGGCGGTTCCGAACCTCACTCCCGCTCGACTACCATGCCGACTACCATCTCTACCTGACGGGCACACCGATTGAAAAGACCAAGAGGATTTGCGATGGAAGGGCAACGGGTGTGAGAGAGGAAGAAGGGAAGGGCTTATTTTGAGCCATCAAAAAAACAAAAAAACCACGGTATTGCACTTTCGATCAGAGCGCTGTGCAAATACACCGACTCTACCTACACCAAGACTACGAACGCGAGCCTTTATAGCTCTACGACCATATCGAGAACGATGTTGGTATTTCTACGGATCGAGGCGCGTCCGTGAGGCCACACGTATTCTCGACGGTTATTTTTCGAGAGACAAATTACAGCTCGGTACAAATTACTGTTTTTGAGATGCTTTTAAGGGGCTGCGCCACGCCTAAGGGGTTCGTGATACCGCGGGATCAGAAACCCGGGGCCCCAGGATCCAAGCATTGCGTTCTGGATCCCCCCCCGCCCGACACACGATACTACGACCCTACTATTACCAAATGCCGTCGGTCAAACCCGTTGCAACCGGACAAGAAGAAAAAGAAGAAAAAGAAGCAAAAGGAAAGGAAAAAACTTTGGCCGCCCGCTTGGAAACAGTCGTAGTAGTATGATCGAGGGCTTTTTACAAAGAGTTTTGGTTGCGATATCGGAACGTTTTGATCGAAATCTATTCGTACGGCAGGCCGGCATATCTATTCCTACTGTACTGATGTGTGGATCTCTTGCATGCCGGAGAAAAATCGATCGTAAGACTCTGAATAGGTATAGTAGGTAGCTGACTACGGAGGCTCAAATACCGGTAGCGCTCCCCATCCCCCACCCCCCCGAATTGCTACAGCCTGAGGGTGCCTCAAAAGTTTAAATCTCCACTCTCAACCCCCTGGTTAAGCTAACCTCAGGGTGCAACACTTACGCTTGTGACGTTATATGATTAATACGACTTTATGGATAATTGCGAGGTGGCCCACCATTTCGCATACTTTCACTCAAGTAGGTAGGCGAGGTATACCCAAACGTAAGTTTTAGCCCAAAGCTCATTTCTACGGAGGTACTACTAGTAGTACTACGTACTACGTAGTACTAGAAACAGATCAAACCTACGGAGGTAGTAGTACATGCAAGCCCAAAAGTTAGTCACTGCCTGAATCTGCTACCCAGTCCAAGAATTCGAATACACTTGGTGTCAAAGCATAAATGGGCGGGCAGAATTAGGCGGTGACAAACTTTTGGGGCTTGCCCCTCCGTAAATTGCCGGTGGCCTTGAATTTTAGCTCGAAGAAAATGTCCGACTTCCAGCAAGTCGGCACCACCAAGGCGGGGAGACTTCTAGAAAGCACTTATTAAATTACAACTATTGATCTAAACGTAAGGAAAAATGTACGCACTACTACGTCGCCGGCGTGATTGTTATACCCGTGAGGGTGGGGTAACCAGGGGGCTTAAAGTGAAAATTTAAACTTTGGAGGTACCCTCAAGGGTGTAACAATAACGCCTGCACCGTGGTACCTACGACTACTACGTACTAGTATATGCTTAGAAAACGATGCTATACAAATGTGAATCATACCACGGTGCAAGCGTAAGTAGTAGTATTACCCCTCGAGTGGTAGATTCTCGCTGTTTTTATAAGCTTTTGTTTTACCAGGCCATGTAGTAGCACCCTTCCGCCGCGATTACGTCTAAACACCGCTGTCTTATAGTTCTAATCAAGGCAACAAATTCTATCTTTCCCGATCGAATCCCACGCTTTCTTGACCAACCATTCTTAATAGAAGATAGCTTTAATAAACTTCACGATATCTTTCTTGGATGTAATTTTTTTATCCACAACCAGATCGTCGCGATCGACAAGATCGGAAGATCAAGCTGAGAAAGAAGAAGGTAAGAAAAGGCAGCGCTAAAGTACCCCTTAATTAAAATTGCAACCTGCTCGATACGCTTTTGCGATCTTCCTGATCTGGTAGGACGCTTCTCCGATCTGCTTCGACCCTTTTCGAAAATCTTATTTCCCTTGGTGAAAACCCTTGTTTCGTACCCTCGGGGGGTAATACCTACGCCTAGTGACGTAATGGATGTGAAGATGCATCTATTTGTATGCAAGTCAAAAGATCAAAAATGTAATGAAAATATAGCCAAGAACTATCTCAAATGATTGAATTTAGCTCGTCTGCTTCGGATATCTTGACAACTACGACCTTGATAAAATAAAGAGTCCTATAAATCGATAGGGAACAATTAAATCTATCATAACATACGAGGAAATGATTTTGGAATGAATGTTGGTGAACGTAGAAACGGTATTTTTGATGGGTTTCGATAGATGTCCGTTTTTTCGTGTTCCTCGCTTATTCTAGTGTCCACACGCCAATTCTGACACATATGCATAATACAACAGTACCTACCAAAATCGATAACAAAATCGATAGTTATCGTTAACCCGCCGTACCTTCTTTCTCTCACCGATCTCTATCAACGCTTATCTTCGAGCTGGAGGGTGATCACCGGTGGTGGTAGAGGTCTCGAGTACTCGTACTCGAGCGATCTTGATGAGGCTGAGGTTTGGGATACGCCAAGCCTCTTAACGCACGGACAATTGTTGTTTATTATGATATCTATCAACGTCGGGCGGGTCTCCAAAACGCAATACTTACTTAGACCTTGAGACCTCCCATAAAGAACGGCGACGTGTTAAGTAAAGGAATTATATATAAAGTACTATTGAATCGAGAGTAAGAACCACGGTAGAGAAGAGCTCTCTTAAATAGCAAATACTCTATAACCCTTCTAAAAGCAGTTCATAATCATGTGCGCCGAGTTTTTCTTTCGTCAACTGTCGAATACCGACGTATAGCCTTACGAGCGGCCTCGATCCGTTTAGATACAAATACCGTTTCCTTTTATCGTAAAGCGCAAAAGGCTCGCGCTCGTAGCCTTTATATAAAGCCGGTATATTTTCAAAAAAGCTTTTTCGAAAGGGCAATATCGTGTTTTCGATTCATCGAACCAAGCCTTTCCTATCTTATCTCTTCCACCCGTTCCTTTTCTATCGCAAATCCTATCAGACTTTTTAAGTCGTCTCTTATACCCGTTCCTCCTCCATCGCAAATCCTATCAGACTTCTAAGTCGGTATGCCCGTTCATTTCAGATCGTCGTCGTGCGTGGTGATCGCGAAGAGAAAAGAGGAAGGTCCGGAACCGCCGGTAAGAGGCGATATCTTCTAGAAGACGTCGCGTATCGATGATTTAATTTCGGCTCTTTAGACCCTTTGCTGCAAGAAAGAGCTGAACGTCCGTAAAAGGCACCTGGTAAGCCTACTCTAACGCACGGACAAGTAACGTCGAAAAGTACCCACGGTACAGGCCTAAGTGTTACCCTTCGAGGGTGCCTCGGAAGTTTAGTTCCCACTATAAAGCCCCTGATTACCCTACCCTCAAGGGGTAATACTTACGCCTGGGACGCAGTACTACGTACCACCACTCCCCTCGAATTGCTACAGCCTGAGGGTGCCTCGAAAGTTTAAAAATCTCCACTTGAGGTCCCCTGGTTACCCTACCCTCAGGGTGTAAACACTCATTCATGCCTGTGACGTTATAGTAGTATAAGAAAAGTACACCACCAGAAGGTTTACTTTTTCCTACTTTAACCTAGCACAAGAATGGAATAATAATCTGTAAACAAAATTTGATAAGTTGATCAATATCAAAATCAATACAATGCATCTCTTGATGCAAAATTAATTGCGATGTAATGGTTGGTTGATTTTCTATCTATTGTATAAGGGCCAAGTTAACTGTCCCGCCTTGGTGGTGCCAGATCGGGATTTTTTTTTCTTCTTTTTCAGATTAAATTTAAAGTAACCGACGAATTAAGCTTATTAAGTGAACATTTAGTTTAAAATACCACGGTACAGGCCTAAGTATTACCCCTCGAGGGTGCCTCAAAAGTTTGGTTTCTACTTTGACCCCTTAGTTACTTTACCCTCGAGGGGTGACACTTACGCCTGGGATGTAGGATGTTAACTCATCGCAATTCTCTTAATATTATACTGTTCGCAAACTGTATTGCTACAAGAATTCTTGCCGCTAGCAGTTTCGCAATGGTGCGTCCTTTCTTTATTACGCTATGGTATGTATGTCTTAAATCCGAGGAGCATCTCACCTGACGAGTCTCGAAAGTCGCGGGGATCAGAATTACAAATTCAACGAATTAAGTAGCTTTTTGCATCCAAGTTTCGTCTACAAAACTCCAAGACAAATATCTTCATCATCGCATAATAGTTTGGAACAGATTCGCTAATATAAAGGAAGCTTTGAAGAGAGTGGTTGATTAATCATTGATTATTAAGCGGAAGATCGGATTTCAATCAAAAAATTTCAAAAAATTCATCAAATATCTTTTTATATCCACGCTTCGTCTTGAGAAATTTAAGATAAATATATTCGTAATCTTTTAGTCATTCTGGACAAGCTTGATCATGCAATAGAATCTTTAAAAATAATAGTTGACTAACTATCAATTATCAAGCTGAAAGCAGGATTACAAATGAACTTTTGGCTAAAATTTACCTCAAGGGTGTACCTCACCTGATTAAGCGAAATCAGGTGAAAATGAAGGGCCGTCTCACAATTAGGATGATTTTCGACACGAGGGTATACTGGCCGCACGAGTACTGGTTCTACGACCAAGGTAGAGTTTTGAATATATCATGATACTTGAGATTAGCTGTTGTTGCACATCGTAATCCGGTCGCGCGCATTTTCAATGTTCGAAAATTTACTACTAATAGATTTATTACTCATAGATTAATTTCGCCCATCCTGATATCTGGCCAAAAAGCTCTTGTTTTCAATTATTATCATGTAATTGTCACGTCTATACAGCTCTACAATTAATAGTACTGGCTGTACTTCGGTATATCTCTCTTAATTCTCCAACTTGCAGTGTAGGTATAGGTACCGTAGGTACAATATATCGCACGAGTCAGAACTCCCTGCCCTCGCTACCGGAGATCTCATGTTTCATCTATTTACGATTACCGGGGAAAGAGATTGCAATGTTTTAAATCGCTGGCCAAGAGTTATTTCAGCTGCGATTTTATGATTAAAAAGATTTTCAATATAGATGCTGTCCGCATAGAGACCGATGAAACGGGATTCGCATTTGGTCAAAACCGACTGAATTCGAGATATAAAACTTCGGCCCCCAACCTCTTCCACATATTAAGAATTTCACACAAACTCATTATCGCTCCTTTCTTTTTCGCTCCTTTCTATTACGCTCCTTTCTTTTAAAGAATTTCACACAAACTCATTATCGCTCCTTTCTTTTCCGCTCCTTTCTATTACGCTCCTTTCTTTTACCTGTTATTTAAGATGCAACTCACTACCTTTGCCGCCGGTCTCCTCGCCCTCGTCCCCTGCGTCGTAGCAATGAAGCAACAGGAAGGTTTATACTGCAACTATGGCTGGTCTAACCCTGACGCCAAATGCGTAAGCAAACCACTCTTGATACACTCGTTTTCAGGAGCTCTGAAAAGCTGACAATATTTTTCGGTTGATAAGCCTGGGCAGAATATGTACTGTGTAAGCTTCTCTGCTCTGCCAACAACCTCACTAGCTAACAACCACGCGTAGTGCATTACATTCGGACTTAGTGAGGCCCCATACGACAATCTTCGGAAGGGTTGTTCAATCCCACAAGGACAAACCTTCATATGTGAGGGTAACAACGGCAGCCCTGTTGGTGTAAGAAATTCCATCCCTTCAAGTTACATATAAAGCTAATCGCGTATACGATATATAGGTTGGCAGATGCGTAAGACAACTCCTTTCTATTTCCAATTATGATCTTAAGGGAAGAAAACTGACTGATGATAGTGCCCTTGATCGGACAACATTGGACAAGAGCTACAAGTTTGATGAGACTTGATAGTACTAGAAAGCGTGGGGAGGACTCCGTGTGTTTAGAATCGAAAGGCAGAAATATTCTTATTGTAGTATTAGACAGGAAAGGCATTAGAGCTACGATACCGCAGTAACTCAGGAGAGAGAAGGAACGCTAGCCATTTAGCGTACTTAGCAAACAAAGGGGATCAATAGTTACGCCGCTCCAAGAGGCGGCCGCATATTAAAATCCTAAATAGCCTTTGGCGCAATATTTGCTTGGAATACTTTGACCTTACTATTTGCATCTTTTAACGTCAATATAACTCCTTGACATTATAGTTACATAATGAAATTCGGCCTTGAATTACCTTCTGAATAAACTCATTCATTAAATGCTCTAAATGCTTCTTTATACGTAGTATAAGGAGGGCGCTCCTCGAGCACGGCCCGGGAGGAAAGCCCAAGATATTAGCCTATTATCAAACTAGAAAAAACGCCTACAACAACCCTATTGCGGCTTATACACCTCGTCCTCTTATTACATGCCAAAGTATTTAAACGTAAGGAACGCAAGGTCGACGTAATACGATGTCTCCATTTTCATTAGATCGCTCGAATAATCTTATTGCCCGCTTATCCGAAATGCAACAGCCTTTGTTGATATCATAGGGTGATGCAAGGTCCGAATACGTATTCGGTTCTTCGAGTGGATTCAGTTTGTTTTGCATGCTGTCTAAGTACGTAAGGGTGTGTTTGGCTCGCAGATGCAAGCCAAGTTGCACCACCAAAATATTCTTGCATCTCCAAGTTGCACGTCAAGATGCAAGAATTGCCTCAATCTGTTTGGCTCGTGCACGTAAATCTCGCAAAGTGTGCATCTGACCTTGCAACTGCAGATGCACCATACAAATCGGACTTTGAGCAAAAAGCTCTAAGTCCCAAGTTGCAAGCTCAAGTTGCAAGCTTTTTTCAGCCCCCCCCTCCCCTTCTTATTCTATACTCTTTTTCCTTCTAATAATTCTCAACCACGCAACCTTTTCATCATGCCGTCTCCGAAAACCATTCTGAAAAAGCGCAATCTACGGAATCGCAATATTGGAATTATCGTCGCTGCAATTGGAGCTTGCGCCGCCGTTCAATACTACAAAAACAATTTCGCAAAAACGCCTCAGCACACTTCAGATCTGACAAGCCTTCAATAGGTGGAAGAGCTTCTTACAGGCCACCCACTACGAATCAAGAACAACTTAGGAGTTACTCGGGAAGGATTTCGATACATTCAAGACCTTTTGATACGCAAAGCTAAACTTCGAAATACTCGATATATGCGGACGAAAGAACAGCTTGCGATTTTTCTATACAGCATTAGATCGTAGAAGCCGAAATAATAAGGGTATCATCAGCAGCGCGCGCCTTTTTTTTTCGTGCAACAGGTTCCTTAGTAGTTTTTTTGACGGCCTTAGACTTAGGAAAGAGACTTGCAAGAGGGGCCTCCGTAATAGCAAATCTCGAATTTGGAGGGATCGACATAATGGCGTTGTTGATGTCGAGTTTATTACATTGATAAGTAATTAGTAGTTGTAGTGACGAATTAATTTTTTTCTCTAAGTCCTAAGTTGCAGTTTGCTATTCAATTTGCTAGTTGCGAGCCAAACAGGCCTTGGTCCGTGCAACTTCTACTATCAAGTTGAGTTGATCTTGTTTAAGATCAACTCAACTGCTCAGTTGCACGGACCTGCAACTGTGAGCCAAACACACCCTAAGGTAGTAGCTACTTGTAGCCACCGATGCAAACGGAAGGTACAACCGGAGCTCCACGTGACTTGGCCCGTCTGACTAAGTTGGTCCGTTTGACTGAGTTGACTCGGTTGACTGTAGTCAACCACTCGGTTGACTCTAGTCAACCAGGCTGACCGCCAGTTCAGCTTCTGACTAAGGTCTTAGTTCCAACAGCCTTGCTACTCGCAAACGATAGAATGACTCTATAAAAGCATATCTACAATACGAATACGTTTTTATTACATAAAAACAAGCTGCTTTAGGTTAAAAGATTAGTAGAGTTACAATTTAAAAGTACGTAGTAGTAGAAAGAGCGAGACAATATTCTCGCTTCGATACGAGCATCTCGCTTAGCTATACCAACTATACTCACGGGCAGTGCTGCATTCTCCGGTAACATTTTGTTGCTTCATGATTGATTAAAACTGAGTAGTATTTATAGCAAAAGTATAATCGCGAGGAGAGCAATTTACGTAGTAATAAAGGGAACGCATGTCGTTGTACCCGGAGCGACGTAATGATTGATCCCCCCTGTTTGCCAAGTACGTTAAACGGCCAGCGTTCCTTCTCTCTCCTCAATTACTATGGTAGAATAGCGCTGGTTGAGAGTAATACAGAGTGCGACAGTAAGGCAAGCTTTCGGCTACTCTCAGTCTTACGTAGTAAGTTCCCACGAGTACGCACCAGAGACTTTCCAACGGACTAATTCTCCATCAGAATTTTCCATTTTTAGAAAAAGTGTAAAACTTCCAAGCCATATCACAGTCTAATATTTGCAACTCGATTTTATGACGCTAAAAATTGATAATATCATCCTTTTTTTTTAGGAAAAAAAAAACGTGCAAACATATTGTATTGCTGTGAAAAAAGTTTTCTCATTGTTTTAAAACATTTGATTGCGTTGAAGCATTGATAATTTAAAAAGTAATAGAAATCGTAATCTCGGTTTGAAAATCGCTAGTGCGAACTCTTTGGAACCCGAGATTAAGAGTAGCCGGAAGCTTGCCTTATTGGCGCTCGGTCATCGAGGCTGAGAGATGAAACCCCCTTAATAGAAAATCTTGCAAATTGTCCATTGTTATAGCAGTTCTCCATCTTGAATTAAAGATATACCCAGCTTGGAGTTATAAATAGTGGAGCGGTAGTTTCAAGTAAAATCGCTCAGAACCTTATCAACCGAAAACTTACGAACCGAATACGGCAACTTTTTCTGAGCTGATGCTCTGGTAAAAGGAGATTGAAGTATTTAAAGGAGGGGAGGGTGCCCGCTAAACTGCTAGAGCTTTCATCATCTGCGCAATCATTCTCCAAGATGCAACTCATTATCTCAATCGTCGGTCTCCTCGCTTTCGGCTCTTATGCCGCAGCATATCAAAATAATCAAGGAGTTTTATATTGCAATAGTGGCTGGTCAAACATTCAAACTAGCTGCCCTGTAAGCAAACTAATCTGAACCAACCCTTTTCTATCTCCAAAACTTGAAAAACTAACGAGATATATAATCGATTAGAATAACAAGAATTTATACTGTGTAAGCTTCTGCTTCCTTTCACGAATATAACCTTGGCAGCTAATCGCGCGTAGTGTCTTCCACAGGGAAAAGTAGACGAGGCACTCAATATCCCTCGTACCGAATGTGAAACCCCCATTGGACTGGAATTCACTTGTGGTGGCAGCAACAGCCCTGCTGCTGGTGTAAGTAACCTATCCCGTCAAGTTATATATAAGGCTAATCATGTATACGATATAGGGTGGCAAATGCGTAAGACAACTTCCTGTCTTCGGTTATAATCTTAAAGGAAAAGAACTGATTGGTAATAGTGCCCGTGATCGAACGACATTAAACAAGAGCCTCGAATACATTGAAACTTGGTAGTCTTAGGAGGCGTAAAGAAGAACTACACTTGGCATGTAGAGGCAGAAATGTTGTTGGTGCGGTATTCAACAAGAAAGGCATTCGAGTTAGGTACCTAGAGCAGCGCTGTGGCGGTGGGATGACGAGTCCCGGAGAGAAACTGTTGCCAATGGCCCATTCTTACAGTAGTCCTTTTTATTAAATACAAGAGAAACACACTTTATCATTATAAATACAGTCCCCCTTCATGAATGATTGTTGGACTCAGTTTAGCCTATAAATAGAAGAGCGGTAGTTCTGAATGGCTCAAGGCCCTGTCAACTCTATCACACAGACTAAATACGAAGTACTTGCTTAAAGATACTTCTCGAGGCTTATTCTTGATAAGCTGATTGGTTTAAGCGCTGGTAAGAGCCTTTCTAAAATTATACATTAGACAATCAATCATGAAGGGGCTACAGTACGGAGAGCGGTACTGTAGTTCCGAGTACGTAGTACTTTGTACGGACGTGCTGGGGGTAAATGATAGCAGACCGCCTTCAGCGAGAAGAGTTCCCACAGCCTCAATCGCGTCCAAAATTTATATAAGGAATACGCTAAATTCAAGATAACAACAATAAATATTGTTGATCTTTTGACGAGCTCAATAAGGAAGTTCTTTAAATATTAGGTGTATTATAATAGTAGATTTAATGATGGGAGAGCCACTCTTGATTTTTCTGCCGATATTGTTGCTGTTATTGTTGTTGTTATATTTATTAACGTCAGGCGTGTATTTAAAAACGCAATGATTAAACCTTAAAGACCTTTTATAAAATACGGCGACGTGCTAAATAAAGGAATTATATATAAAGTACTATTTAATCGAGAGTAAAAACCACGTTAAAAAAAACTTTTCGTTAAATAGCTTAACACTTATAAACCTTTTAAAAGCAATTCATGGTGCTATGCGTCGAGTTTTCTCTCGATAATTATCGAATAGGTATAGCCTTACGAGCGGCCTCGATCCGTATAGTATAAACATCGTTTTCTTTCGTCGTAGAGCTAAAAAGGCTCGCGTTCGTAGCTTTTAAATAAAGCCGGTGTGTTTGCAAAACGCTCTTTTGAAAGCGCAATACCGTGTTTTCGATTAATCGAACTAAGCCCTTCTTATCCTATCTCTTATACACGTTCCTTCTCTATCGCAAATCCTCTTGGTCTTTTCAGTCGGTATGCCCGTTAGGTATAAATCATAGTCGGCGTAGTATTCGAGAAGAAAGAGGAAGGAGATTCGGAATTGCTGGTAAAGGAAAATCTCTTCGAAGAGACGTCGCATATCGATAATTCAATTTCGGCTCTTTAGACTCTTTATCTTTCTTTTTACCGCAAGAGAAAGAAAGAAAAAGAGCTGAAGGTTCGTAAAGGGCACCTCGTACAAGTAAAGAATCGTAGCCCCCGGATTTTTCTGCCGATGATTCTGCCGACGGCCGTCTGCCATAATTTACCCCCGGCACCTTCGTAAACAGCTCAAAGCCTTGTTAACCGAATACGGAATTGTGTACAGAAACTATTCTGGGCTACTCCTTCTTACTTGTATTTTAATGTCGGATCCAGTTTAGCTTCATAAATCGTAGAGCGGTGGGTTTTAAATGGCTGAAGGCCTTGTCAACTCTATTACATAGACTAAATACTTGCTCAAAGATACTTCTTCAAGCTGATTCCTGAAAATTATACATCAGACAATCAATCATAAGAGGGCTGTAGTACGGAGAGCGGTACTGTAGTTTCAAGTAGTACTTTGTAAACAGCTTAAAGCCTTATCAACCAAACACGGACTTGTGTACAGAAAGTATTTTAGGCTACTTCTTCCCACCGTAGTATGTTTCAAATCGGACCCAGTTTGGCTTTGTACGTACTGTAAATCCTTGAGCGGTGGTTTCTGAATGGCTTGAGGCCTTGTCAACTCTATTACACAGACTAAATACTTGCTTAAAGATACTTCTTCAGGTTGATTCTTGATAATTTGATTGGCTTAAGCCCTGGTAAGGTTCCTTGCAGATTTGTACTACCTTCGACATGTACTACGTACAGTATTCATGGGGGGCGGGGGAGCGGGGAGTAACGCCCTGGTAAGATTATACTTTCGCCGTTTCTTCGCGAGGCTGAAGTATATAAAGGGAGGGAGACTACTCGCAGATCAATCAAAATTTCGTGCTTCTGCTTATCGCTACCATTCATCTATTCTTCAAAATGCAACTCACTATCGCTTTCCTCAGTCTCCTTGCTTTCGGCTCTAATGCCGCAGAAGAGCTGACGCGAGAATTATTTTGCGATCATGGCACGTCAAACCCTGGATCTAGCTGCCCCGTAAGGAAACTATTCTCAACCTACCCTCTTCCACTTTTAGAACTTTTGGAGACTAACACTATTTACTATCAATAAGAGTGGTAAAAACATGTATTGTGTAAGCTTCTTCTTCCCTTTAGCAACAAAACTTCAGCAGTTAAAGTATCGCACGTAGTGTCTTCCAGTAGGAATAGGGGCAACTCCACTTGATGTTCCTCGTGGTCGTTGTGAAGCCGTAATTGGAATAGACTTTTTATGTGGTCAAGATTTGGGCTTTGACCCACCATTTGATTCTGTAAGAATCCTATCCGTCAAGACAAAGGACACAAGGCTAATCGCGTAATCACATTGTCACAATAGCGTGGCAAATGCGTAAGACAACTTCCTCTTCTCAATCTTAACATTAAGGAAAGGAACTGACAAGTAATAGTGCCCTTGATCGAAAGGCACTACACGGTGCGGTGGGGCCTGGTGTTGTTGGAAAGGGTGGAGAAGACCATGCCAACGACTCAGCATCCAAAGGCAGAAATGTTTTTGTTGCGGTATCAGATAGAAACGGCGCTGGAAGCCTCGGACTACAATATATACGGCCTTGCTTGCCGTTGTCCAACCCCTCTCAAGTTTCTCACTTTCGCACACGAGTTGTTTTCCTAAAGTCAACCAGCCGGTCTCGCAAAATAATTCTCAGTTCTCTTGGGAAAAAGACATCTATAAAAGGGGACGCCACGATTCTTCACCTGTACGAAGTGCCTCCTCTCACGAGCTTTCAGCTCTCTTTCTTGCAGTAGAAAAAGTCCGAAGAGCCGAAATAGGATTGATCCATACGCGGCGTAATTTCGCAGGGTTTTCCCTTCACCGACGATTCCGAACATTCCTTTTTTATCTCTACCACCACGCCAACTACGATCTGTACCTGACGGGTATACCACTTAAAATACTAGGGGAGGGTTTGCGATAGAGGATGAACGGGTGTCAGAGGTGGGAAAAGCTCAGTTCGATGAAATAGGTTGCTTGTGCCAACACCGACCGAGGCCGCCAGTAAGGGCCACGCGTACAAGACAAGTATCGAGAGACAATCTTTGCGTTACTTCGGTTTGAAATGTTTCTTACTACTCGCAAAAAAAAAAAAAACAAGGAGAAATCAGGGAAGTAGAAGAAAGGAGATGAGGGGCCGGACATTCCTTCGTTGCGAACAAAAGCGTGGGAAATCCCCCGCGCGCGCGTGATGATCCTCGCGGTTGCCAAAGAAGGAAAAGAAAGCCGTAGGCAACAATAGATGGACACATCGATGGATGGATAGCTGCAAAAATAGAACGTGTGTGTGCGCGAGATACCGGTATCCAACGCTTCGCGGAAGGATTCTTTTTTCCATCGGAAATATATCAAGAAGTCAAATGAAGTAACCAAGCGAAACAGGCTGCGTTTTCCGAACGGGAAATTGAACCCCGGTCTCCTGCGTACTCCCGTTCCTTGCGAATCCGCTTGACTGAGACCCTATTCTATAAGATGTACTCTAATCGTCGAGAGGCAGAACTGCTGTTGCACACAAGTTAGTAGGCCCGGCATTTCGGTTTATAGTTTGTTTAAATTTCCGGCGGTGGGTGGGATCGGAAGCTGAAAGGCTTTTGTTTAGCGCGACTCGCTTGGCTACTGCGAGTGGGGTGTTCTGGCGACGGCTTCGCTTATCATGCAGCGGTTAGGTCAATAATGCCGAATACATCTGTTTCTACGAGTTGAATACTTGTTTTCTGTCTCTTAGTATAGCAGTTGATGGAAGGCTTTTTTGTTTTTTCCATCAAGGGCACCAAATTATAATTGTTTTTACTCCGATGAGAATATCCAACCGTAACACGGTGGGTAAACCGCAGTAATGACAACAGGCTTGACGAGGAGGGAAGGAGCCAGCTACATACCTGCCACGACTTCACGGGTCTGAAAATTTTTTCTTTTCCTGCTCCGCTTACATCATTTTCCATCTACTCATCAAGATCCGAAGATCGTTGGGAATACATCTGCCAAGTCTCAATACATGACGAGAGCTCCCGACCTGTGGACTTTAAACATGTTCTCGTGTGGGAGATGGATCGCATCCTCGTTCATCACTGCCGCCATTCTGATCGGGCTTTTCGCACCCATTCCCGCATCATGGCAAACGCTCCTTGCAATCACTCCAAGGCCTCATCCGAGCGGCACAGCGACATTTCCTCTCCAGACCGTACTCGATGACCCCCAACAAGGCTATTCTGCAAAGCGTCCATTCCAGCCCGGCATCACCAAGCCAGCCGGAGAGAACTACACCAAGATGCTCGTGATACCACGCACGCACGCCGAGAACGTTGACTGGATTGACGAGAACTTCGGCCCGGACGCCAACATCGATTGGAAGATCTACGTAGTCGACCAGCCTGATGCGCCGCTGCACCCACCGCAGAACAAAGGCCACGAGGTGATGGTCTACCTCTCCTACATCATCGACCACTACGACGATCTGTCCGACGTGAACATCTTCATGCATTCCCACAGGCACGCGTGGCATAACAACGATCTCTTAGGCAGCGACGCGGTGCAAGTAGTCTCAAGGCTGTCTTCCGAGCGTGTACTCAGGGAAGGCTACATGAACTTGAGGTGTCACTGGGACCCTGGGTGTCCGGGCTGGATGAATCCCGGCAACATCGAAGAGGATGTCAACAAGCAGGAAGAGACCATGCTGGCGAAATCTTGGTCCGAATTGTTCCCTCTGGACGCCATCCCGAATGTCCTCGCGCAGCCATGCTGTGCTCAGTTCGCCATTTCCCGGGACAGGATCCGCGGTCTGCCACTGGCGCGATATGTTGCTTTCCGGGAATGGTTATTGAAGACCAACATGTCAGATTATTTCAGCGGGAGGGTGTTTGAGTATATATGGCAGTTCATCTTCACAGGAAAGAATGTGGTCTGTTCGAGGGAACATGTGTGCTACTGTGATGGCTTTGGCATCTGCTTTGGGGGAGAGAAGGAATATGATGTTTATAACGAAAAGTTGAAGGAGCGTACGCGTATGGAGGAGGAGCTACAAGAGTTAGAGGATTTACGGAACAATGGACAGCAAGATTTCGCGCTGCCGGAGGAGCGCAAATATATTGAGTTGCAGGAGAATATCGAGAGTCTCCGGGCTTGGTGTGAGCGGGAGAAGGATAACGCGAGAGCTCGGGGAGATGTTGCTGAATACCGAGCGCGGGAAGTAGGGAGATCTTGGAAGGACGGAGATGGGTTCTGAAAAAACCGCTCTTACCATTTCAGTACTTTGTTATGGTGTGCCAGCTTCTCGTCTGCGGGTGAGGCTCTGCTGTATACTGAATTGGGACTGGTTCAACTTGGCCCCTTCTTCTTCTTCTTCTTCTTCTTCTTCTTCTTTTCTCTCCATCACCTTACATCGTCTAGTCGCGCAAGATGTATCGAAATTCCCCCAACCCAATGTAGAGAATCATGCTTGTATCCCCCCCCCCTCTTTTTCTTCTTCTTTTTTTCTCGAAGCTTTGTAAACCAAGCAGACCAACCACTCGTCCTCCCAAAACCCATTCCCAGGTCCAGTCGGGACTGTCCAAGGAATAAACACCCCCGGCGGGCACCGAGAACTGCAGCAGGAAAATCTCGTTTCCCGTGATTACTTTGCCCTTTTGACGCACTGCCCGCTAGCCCTCTCTCCTTTTGCTATTCTCCCGGCGTTCGCGGTCTGAGTGGTGTTTGATAATCGTCGCCGCGTGGGTCGTGGGGGTGGGATGTTATCTTATGGGTTGAGTTAAGTTGAGTTGAGTCACACCCAGCACATCAACGAAGAAGCAACGATATAGCCAACCAGCAAGCCAGCAACTGACTGATGCAGGAGCCCGAGCCATTGCGGCAAGGAAGGAAGGAAGGAAGGAAAGAAGACGGGGTTAAAAATAAAAAGGGGATGAAGGGAGCAGGAACCCGATCGGCCGTGGAGCTTCGAGTCTTCTGTCACCGTTGAGCTGATGGACAGCTTCGCTATCTCATGACGCCTGAGGCATTCACCTCCTCCGCAGGCCACTGCGATACAGGATTCTCTTGCTGCCCTTTTTGCCCTCCCCCACAGAAAATCTGGGCGTTGGGAGTGTGTTTTGTTGTTGTTATCGTTTATTGGTATGCGAGAAGGGTGGGTCACGTGATCGACAAAGGCGGTTTGCTTTGCCTGCCCGTGCCCGACCACCAGTTCCGGCTATTCATGTTTAACGCGATGGAGACAGTCAGATATAGTTGGTTGTATCGCTCCTATCAATTTCCATCTGGGGATCTCTTGGAGAAAGAGAGAGAGAGAGAGAGGTGGCGAGCATTCCGCAAAGCATATGTTTTGTTGATGTCGGGTGGTTCCTAAGCGAGAAGGCAGGCCGAATGCGGCTGGCTGGCTGGATGCAGAAGGGTTCGTCTTTGTGTACAAGGATAGCCTTTTCGATGCCGTGTTGGTAATGACCACAAAGAATGCTTGTTCGTCATTATACTCTTGATACAAAGACGCAGCTCGGGAATTTTCCCTCTGGGCTTTGGGTGCGATTCGATCATCTCTCTCGTGCATATACCGCCGTCCAGAGCAGAGTTCCAATTCAATCCAATCAAGCAAGCAAGCAAGCATGGCGCACCCGATGACCTTCGGCGTCGAGCTCGAGTTCGCCGTCGCCATGATCTTCCCCAACGATACAAACCCCAATCCCTCAGACCCTCGCACCGTCATCTTCAAGCCCACAACGGAAGAGTACACGGACGTCATTCGAGGTTACCAGCAGCTCAGCCCAGATCCAGACCCGGAGCCCTCCGCCGCCGTGCTGCACGCCGTGGAGTACGATTCCCGCCAGCCGGCCGTCTTCCGCGCCGTGTCGCAGACGCTGCAGGACGCGGGCTTCCCCGTGGTCTTCGACGCCAATCCCAGGAATGAGACGGGTGTCATGCCTACGAGCTGGGAGGTCATCCGGAGCGATCGGGCGAGGGTCGACAGGTATGATATGGATGCCGTGTACAAGTACATGCCGGTCAAGGTCCGGAGCCCGGCGTATACACTTACGGAAGAGAATCTGGAGCGCGTGCGGCAGGTGTGTCTGTTGATACGCAAGACGTACATAAGCCGCATTCACGAGACCATGGCCCTGCATGTGCATATCGGGTATGGGGACGAGGGGTTTACGATGGAGACTGTGAGGGATCTGTTGGCATTCACGTGGGCATTTGAGCCGCAGTTTGACTCGCTACATCCGGAAGCGAAGCTACAGGATGAGCATTGTGAGTCGATGAGGGATCAGAGTTACATGGCCAATGTGTGGTAGTAAGTCGCTCCGGTGTCTGTTAAACCGTTTTCTTCTTCTTTTCATCGACAGAGGCGGTGATGCTAACGCTGCCCAGTGCAAAACATGGAGAGAGGATGACGCCTCTACAAGGCGTGGTCAACATCTGGGGGGTGACAGCCGGGCTAGCGACGTCTATTGGAACTGCCTTCCATCCCGCTTTTGAACTGAGTCCAAAGAACCAGAGGGTGAGCTTTTGCGGACTGTTCTGCCGTACGAAGCCCCCGGGGGAGCGGCTCTGCACGGCCATACCAACGATTGAGTTCCGGCAGCATAAGGCGACGCTATTTGGCGAGAGGGTAACCATGTGGATCGAGACCGTGGCCGGTGTCGTGCGGTTCGTGAAGAATGCCGAGAAAATAGATCTGCTGAATTTGTTTGAGCTGCTCAAGCACGAGAAGTGGGAGAAGCTGGGTGATGGGAATGATGCGCAGAGAGAAGAGATCATGGGACCTATCCTTGCGGACCATGGCTTCACGATCATAGATTTGCTGCGCCATACTGGGCTGGAGAAGCAGGCGGATTACTACGAGGACCAGTGGAATACGCATGAGAGAACGCGGTTCATACCCGTTGTCCAACTAGAAGTGCAACCAGGAGTTATGATCGCAGCGGCAAAATTCCACCCTCGCTTTACTCGGTGGCAGTACTTGGAAGAGCCTGGTGAGCTTTCAGATGCGCAGCTTAACTCCGCGGATGCCTCAAGGGTGCTGTGGGAGCAGATGAGCAGGGTTGTGGAGCTATATAAGGACGTTATTGGGAAGGATTTGCCGGAGTTGACACCGCCACAATTTGATCCCGAAGACCCAGACATGTGGCCGATCCATATGAGTTCCTTTGATAGGGAGACGGGGGGCGAGGACGTTGGAAGGGGAGAGTTGTAGCAGCAGCGGGATTCGGTGGTTATGAAGTGACGTTGGATGTTGGATGTTGGATGTTGGATGTTGGTTGTTGGTTGTTGGTTGTTCTTTGGTTTCAAAGCAGGACTCGCTTAAGTATTAGGTAGTAGTATGTAGGAAGATCTGGATGAAAAGGAAATGGCGCTGATGAGGCATGTTCGATGTCCGTACAGTATGATGTACGATATGCTTCAAAGGGGTCGAAGGTAAATTCAGCGCTACTTCCGGTACCTCGGATCATCGGAACGGACGAGGCCTGCCGCTCGCAGCTAGTCGCTATACGGAGTCAGTCTGAATGGTTGGCTCGGGAATCGAATCGTGTTGGCCATGGTCCTGATGATTCTCGTAAGCAGCCAATACTTACTGTACTGTACTTGATGAAGATCTACTACTAAAATGTCTTACAGAACCGACTGCATGCAAACGCTCAGACCTGATCATCGTCCGTCACGTGAACAAAGCCCGACGCTCAGATGCTACTGTACAGTACTGTACTGCACCTACCGGTATGCCCTATGCTCAGATCATCTCGTGGGCACCGCGTGGAAAAAATGGGGAAATGATGACAGTACATACTTCTACGTAGTACTTGGTATTTGGAGTCCTTGGAACAAACTCGTCCTTCTCGTCATTCGGAGGCATCACCATCACCGGCTTGATAAATGATGAAGTGATATAAAACCACTTGTACAAGTACAATCGTTTACCAAAGGTTGTCTAAAGTGCATGTGGATTGCGATCGCGATGGCGAAGAGCCGATTGAGTGAGACATACGTAGTACTACTACATGGTGGATAGCTCTCCTGGCTCTCCTGGCTCTCCGGACGTACTGAGTTCGTTCCGTAAGCGAAGACGATTACCTAAGTACTGTACTAGAAGTACTTAACTTCCCTAGAGTTGCATCTGTACATGGGCTGGTGTGGCTTCCCCGACCCGGCTGGTCAGCTCCGGGTGGGTAGGGAAGGGCTTGGTATTCTTGACTTGAGAAGTGTAAATAAAGATCGAGGCCGCCAAGGGGTCCCAGATCGAAAACATGGATATGTGTATACACGGCCGAAAGGTTAATATGAGTTGTCATTCAGGAAGTACAAGTAGATATCATCTTGAGAAGAAGCAGGAGGGCTCGCGTGGCGCGGGAGGTCAATTTTTTTCTTTTCTTTTTCTTTTTTTTTCTTTCTTTCGTTCCAGGGTCGGGAAACGGCGAGGTTTTCTTCTTATGCATGTTTTCTTTTTCTTTATCTTTGTTGCTTTTCCCACGTCCCATCTTTAATCTTACTTTGTATTTTTCCCTCTCTTTACTTTTTACGTTGTGTCTTGGCTGTGGCGCTTCTCTCTCGCTCTTGCACCCGAGATAGGAGATACTGGTACCGGTAGTAGTACTACGTACTACGTATAAGATGCGTGGAAAAAAGTCAAAAGCCCAATGTCCAAAGACAAAAGCAAGTCGGGAAGGCCCCAACGTGCGTGCTTCCCACGCCTTTCATAACGTACTACTGCAACTTGTATAGTCCTTAATAAGTCCCTAGATAGTGATTGCCTTGACCGTGATGCCGTGATGCCGTGATGCCGTGATGCTGTGATGCCGTCGTGCCTTCCTGCCTTCCTGCCTTCCCCGTGCAGGGCCGGACATGTAGTTATTCGTAGCTTTGGTTAGCTGGAGTTGTACATCTCGTACATCTCGTACATCTCTCTCTTCTCCATTTCACTTCCACTTCATTCCACGATCCGAGGCCATTCGACATCCCAGCCTGATCCAGGCCCAGCTACCTATACCTATTGGATCGGTCGTTGGTCGTTGGGTTGGTATTTAGCCGAGTCGATGAGAGCTTCGCTTCTTTCTCCGTCCGTGTCTTCACGCTCTGTCGTTCATCCTCAGGCCTACTACCGCTATCCGACTACCGCTATCTGACCCAACAGCCCCCCTCCCCCAATCCCCCGACAAAGAACAACCACATTCCTCACTCGTCGAGAGTAATAACTCGTCGTACGGTCTCTCCATCTCTCCATCTCTCCATCTCTCCATCTCTCCATCTCTCCATCTCTCCATCTCCAGGTCATGCGCACTACGTCTCCATCAACCGTCAACCGTCAACCGTCAACCTCCACCAACCCTCAATGCCTGACCGGGATAGGGAAGTCCAGTCCCAGCCCATGGGATATTCCTTGGTACGACGTGGCCTGGCCTCTCTCCCTCTCTCCTCTGCGCTCGCTCTCAGAACTCTCTAACTTTCATAATGAAACCCTTACAACTCGACTAAACTCCTTTCACTCTCCCGTCCCTGCACCCCATTTGACTTTCTGGAAATTTACACTACTACTAGTACAGTAGTAGTAGTAAATGCACTGCTTATTACTTCTACTTCCAAGCCGCGTAAACGAGCGGATAGCCACAAGCGTGCTCCGAGTGGAGATCCCTGGCCGAACTCTATTCATGCCCTTCATATAGCAAAGCAGTAGTATGCCACTGACGTTCGCTGACGTCCTAGTTTCCACCACCTCTGAGCTTGCCAGGAACTATGAATTTCTACAACCCTCGACGACTGTCCCCGATCCCGCGCAGTGATGACCAGGAATCCGACGCCGGCGCTGAAGTGAGAGATATTCCGTTCTATAGGCCTCCAAGAACCTCATCCAAGATCACTCCCCTCAAGCAGAACAAGAAGCTTCCATTACCGCCGCCTATTCGCGATCTCGCGGCTCTGATTGGAACCCAGCCTCTAGCCATGCAGCCACCCGACGCCGTCAGGTAAGTGCAGTACTTGCAATACACCTATCCAGTACGGTATCTGATTCTCTCCCACCAGCCCAGTCATTGATTTTGGCGATACCGCGAGCCAAGCTTCCTACGAATCGGACGTAGAAAGAAACTCACGAGAAGAGCATCGATCGAGAAAACAGATGCAACTGCGAGAAGAGATGTATGAACGAGAAGAGCTCCGTGCACGAGAAGAGCGACTTCTACGTGAAGAGATGCGTGAAAGTGAAGAGCTGCGGGCTCGAGAAGAGTTGCGTTCACAAAAACTACTCCGATCGCGAGAACTGTTACGATCGCGAGAACAGCTCCGAACGCGAGACGGGCACGCTGAGCCGGGAGAGACGATGACCCGCCCCGAGCTTCCCGAGGGCCCAGCATCAAGGGCAGAAACTACGACAGACCACACAGCCGGCTTGAAGTCTCGCCGCGCAAATGTCGTGAACACGGCCTCCTCTCCCTCTACCAACCGTTCCCAATCAGTAGTTTCGGACGACAGATCTTCCTACCAGACAAACGGCACCTCTCTCCCGCCACTTCAGCACAAAGCTCTCGATGAGCACGGTCAATTAGTGCCGTTGGACGAGGATGATCTAGACCCCGGGTCGTTCGATTTGGTGGCCCCGGTTCCAGACGGGTTGAAACAGTACTCTCTGGAGACGCGATCCGAGCTGCTCTTCTCATCAGAACACCTGAAAGTCATCTTCAGCGACCCGTCTCTTCTTTTGCGGTTCACTGCTTTCTTGGGCGCAAGCAGGCCCACTTCGGTTCCAGTTCTCATCTACTACTTGGATGCCATCAAGGCCTTGAAAGCGATCAGCTATTCGAACGCGATTGCTGAAGCGTTAGAGCCGATTCCGGGCTATGACTTCACCGCCAACACAGCCCTGAAGACTGTCAATACTGACTTGAAGGATAAGGCTGACCAGGCCTTCAGCGTCATGGTGCGCGAGGACCTTCCTGCATTCATCACGCACACTTATATTCAGACGGTCAGCTTGTCTATTCAGAGGAGGGTGACCGGAACCCTGCCTCCGAGCTTGAGAGAGGCCTCCGAAGGACTTGCGGAAGTGTTCTGCCTGACGGATCCCTCCAGACCCGACAACCCCATTGTGTTTGCATCAGCAGGTAAATTGTGTTCCACGCCGCCCGACCCTCAAGATGCACAGACTCACCGCGATCAGAATTTCACAGAACGACCCAGTACGGCATGTCCTATGTCATTGGCAAGAACTGTCGCTTTCTCCAGGGGCCCAAGACGAATCCGTTCAGCGTCCGGCGACTGCGCGAGAAGGTTGACGCTGGGGTAGAGCACTGCGAAGTATTCCTCAATTAGTAAAGCTCCCTGCGGCGAAATATGACGTCTCGTGCTAACAGCCTGGTAGCCGGAGAGATGGATCCCCATTTATGAATCTGCTCATGACTGCTCCGCTGTGCGACAGCCGCGGCACCATCAGATACTTCATTGGCGCTCAGGTGGATGTATCCGGTCTCGTGAAAGAGTGTTCTGACATGGAGTCCCTTCGCCGCCTTGTCGTTCAGACTGAGGAGGAGCACGCCCGTGATTCCCAAGATGACCTAGAATACGTCGCCGAGAAGGCCCCTCCGAAAGACGAGTTTCAGGAGCTCAGTGAGATGCTCAATCTACAGGAGCTTGACACTGTGCGACGATGTGGAGGCAGAATGCACAAGGAATCCGAAGAGGAATCCCCCGATTCCAATTTCAAAGACGGGAATTGGGGGAAACCTCGCCTTCTGATCAACGCCGGAAGCCCCGAAGGAGGAAACGGGATGAACAAACCGTCCCGGACTAGCGGCCGCCTCAGTGGCATATATGAGAATTACCTGCTCATCCGCCCGTATCCCAGTCTCCGGATCCTCTTTGCGAGCCCTAGTCTCCGGGTACCAGGTATCCTGCAGAGCCCTTTCATGGCCAAGATTGGAGGATCGAATCGCGTGCGTGAGGAATTGACCCAGGCTTTGGCCGACGGTCGCGGCGTCACGGCCAAGGTCAAATGGGTATCGAAGCACGATCTGGAGGGCCGGAACCGGTGGATCCATTGCACGCCGCTGATTGGAAGCAACGGAGCGATCGGCGTCTGGATGGTGGTGATTGTTGACGACGAGTCCTCCGTCAGTCCGAGCAAGCGATTCAAGATGCCCCCTCCTGTGGACCCGAAATTTGGTCGCACTTCCTCCTCGACCTACAGGGGTGACGAGGGCTCTCTCCGGGACTTTGCCCTCGCGAACGGTGCGAGGCATCGCATTGGGAGTTCGCGAGATAGTTCGAGCACCCGGAGCTACCCTGGTGGCGGCACGGATCGGAGCTCCAGCCCCTACTCTTTGAGAATCTGAGGAGGCTTTTTCTTTTGTTCGTGTCGAATCTGTGGGGCAGTTACCGCGGTGGCTTTCATCTCCCAATTTTCTTTTTTCTTTCGATGCGAGCTTCCGTAGTGCGAAACGAACGGGAGCGCAAGGTACATGTCGATAACTAGCGGCGTTTTGATGGCGGATATGCACACATCCTGACTTTACATGCTGGGCCAATTCTCCGGGAGCCAGACCCCAGCCATGAGAGAGGACGGTCTAGAGATACCCAGTAATAGATAAAGACTAATTTACATGACTCTTCTTTTTGTTTTTTTTTTGTTTTTTTTTCTTGTTCTTTTTTGTTCTTTTCCTATTCTTCTCCCCCTTCCATTCCTCCCCGTCTGTTTCCTGTCCCGATCGATTGCTCCCCCCCCTCCCCCCCCCTTTCTTTACTCGTGCGGCCAGCGAGCGCCCTTGTCGCCCGGTCGCAAATCATGTCCAGCCCTCTCCAGCCGAACTTATGCCTCGCCAAACTACTATTTTCTTCAGCGCGCTGCAATCTCCGGGACTCGACCGAAATAGATCTACGTATGTCCCTATGTACCTAGGTATGCTGGGCGCGGTAGGATGTCTGTCTTTCCGTCTTTCCGTCTTTGGTGCGTCCGGGGGAAGGGAGGAAGGGAAGGGAGGAAGGGAAGGGGAGAAGGGGGTGAATGGGGAATGGGGGGGAATGGGGGGGAAAGGGAAATGGGGGAATGGGGGAAAGGGGAATGGGGGAAAGGGAAAGGAAAAGGAAAATGGGGGAAAAGGGAAATGGGAGAAAAGGGGGAAATGGGGTTAAGCATGGAGACATGGATGGAGAGATGGATGGGTGGATGGATGGATGGAGGTGGAGAGGTGGGGTAGGGTAAATCACCACTACTACTACTGTGCAGTATACACAAACCTGTGCCACTCTTACTACATTGTACGTAGTACTTTGTACGTAGTACCTCGGATGGGATGGGGGAACGTCTGCGGCGGAGTACCGGTAGGAGGGAGTTGGGAGTAGGGAGGAGGAGCACGGAGGAGGGGGTTTATTCGGTTTTACGGTATGGTTTGGTATGGTATGGTAATGGTATTATCTTTTTGTTCTTTTTCTTCTTCTTTTTTCTTCTTCC